ATTTTTTTAAGAAATATAGATTTGTTCGCTGACCGACAGAAAAAGTAGTCTATAATCGTCTCCAGAGTCCCATTTACTCATCATAATGGCTTCAACGGTTTAGACGTGAAAGCGTAACAAACATACTCACTTTCCCATTTATAGTACCAGTTATTATAAGATACTCATAATTTTCAGGCGAAGTTATCCCCTCTGCAACTACAATGTGTTTAATATTGGTTCACTATAAAATGTACCTACAAATATGTTTTCATAGTAGGTAAGTGATGTTTGCATTGAATGCTAAAATGCATTTTATCAAGTTAATGTCCTAGTTGAAACACACTTCGTTCCACACATCCGAAGAGAATTGAATGAAGTGGAACATTATCCTAAGCGACATAAGGTAACTTCATTATTGGTAAAGCTAGGGTTGCTATAAAATATTCTAAAATTTCTGTCTCGTATAATAAACTGTGCCTTTATATAACAAAAGCGTTTTTAAACGAAAATCGTAGTTTTATCAAGTTTTTGTTATGTATATATATGTATATGTAGAGATTATTAAAAATGTCGTGCACCTAGCTATTCTCGGTAATTGGTTTTATATACCAGACAACCCTAGTGAGAGCAATTGTACGCAGGGCGGCAATAAATCCGAGGCGTGCGTGCGCAAACGACTTGCCTTGCTTCGCGCAGCTCACGTTTAATCTTGTTTACGATACAAATCCCGGCAAGAAAGTTGTTGCAAAAGTGATCCTGAATTAAACTTATCTAGATCACTCTAGTAATCCGCACACTGGCAGTTTCTTCTTATTCTGCACACGTTAGCAAATAGAAGCAATTTGAAAATAACAACTAGAAGAATAAAAAGTAATAACTCGTCCAATTCTACGAGATGTGCAGTAAAACGTCCTCTTAACTTCCACTTGCTACAAACTGTTTAGTGTCTGGTGAGATCGTCTATAAAAAATGTAATGCGTGTCAATAGTTTTGGGATTCAACATATTAAAGTTATCTCTATGATATTCAAGAACAGAACAACTAATAATAAATATTATAATATATATAAGACTTAAGAGATATTGGACGAAAGAAATTTATAATTCTCTTTATTTAACTAATATTCACATATACCTAAATAATTATTTTAATAATAATAATTAATAAATAATAATTGAAATATTAAGAATATAATTAACAACTCTTACTTCACAACTGACAACAAGTGATATTTATCCGAGTAGCAAAATATTTTTATTACGAATCAAAGAGGACTTCTTAGACAGAAAGAGTTCAATGATAAGATTTATTAAGAGCACTGACCCCGGCATGATAAGAGTTCTAATTCTAACTCCGTTAGATTGATCTTTCAATATTCTTTAATTTGTCGAGAAAGTTATTCAAATCTAATAGTAAATTTTCTATCTTATATATATGTATATATTTCAATGAAAATTATTAACAATTAATAATTTCCAAGGACCGTTGGTTTATTTTCCGATTGCTAAGATTAATTTACTTCCTTACAATTCAAATAACAGTAAATGATAGTTAACTAGTTACTAATTGCAAATACTCGTAATATCAAGGACTAGTCTATACTCTACATTAAAGACACACAGGCGAATTAGTCCCGACCGTCAGAGTAGTTTTTGTTAGTTTAATATAAACCTTATATAAATATTTTTTATACAAATTTTATTATAATTATTTATACAAATAAATATACTCAATAAATGATAAAAAAAAAAACATTGTAGACAGTTCGTATGCACGTAATTATATAAATAAGGGTTGGTAATCATCCTTATATAATTACCGTTTATGAAATTTGACCAATATAATGCACAATTTTACTTATAAACTGACGAAATTGATGTAACTGTTCAAAGTTCATTTATTTCCTTCCCCAATACTTGAACTTAATCAACTACGAAATAAAAAAAAAATAATCAAATAATCATGATTTGATTCAGTCATTCTCAAATGATGTGCTTACTGACGAATAGCAATTAAATTCGAATATTATTGAAAATAAAAATTATATACGGTTTTACATTCTGATATAATGAAATTTTGACCTACAGAAGTTTAGAACGATCATAATAATATCGAAACAAATACATAATGAAAGGTTTGCCTTCAATATGGCCGTAAAATCAAATTATACTCAAGAGATACTTGTATTTATATCATAATAAGGATTGTTATAAATTGATAAATGTTAATTTATAAAAGATAACATATATATTATTTAAATGTATATACAGAATTCTTAAATATACAATAGTTACTTGAATCTTCTAATAGAAGGAAACTATATGACTAAGAAAGGAAAAAAAGGGAACACGGTTTTCATTCATGCGGAAATAGTTTCCCTGTTCCCAAGGGTGTTAATTTGGGAAAACCTCTCTTTGGATCCCAATAAGGGATTTCCCAAATAAATATCCTTAGGGATCTCTAATAACTTTATTGCTGCATATTTTTAGGCAGACTTTTAACTACATATAACAAAATATTATTTTAAAAGTCAAACCCTTTATAGAAAACAACGGCAATATTTAACGTGTAAGATATTCTGATATAAGAAACAAAGTGGAATGCTCGCTCAAAGATACAACTAGACAAACACTAAAACAAACGTGTGCAAGCTAATAAAAAGCTAATTGCCATCACGGAACGCAAGCGGTAAAAGGCGCTACTTCAATCTGTGAACGAGTTGTTAAAGCTGAGACGTAATCGACATGAAAAGAGCGTCTCAAAGGGCCCTTCTGTTTACACAAGACTATACATCTTTCAAATAGTTCAATGGAATTGTGATTTCTCGAGAGTAATCTAGGCTCCACGTAAGTTCTGTTTTTAAAAACGTGCCTTGCGCGACGAATGACTTTTTCACTTTAGTGACATTTTCCCGTTAGTGTTAGTAATCATTTACGGTGAAATACAGCAAAATTTAGCCGCCAAGCTATAGATTTTTATATCGGGGACACCTCAAACTAGTGGTTAGTTCTCTAATTATTAAATTACGTTTAAAAATGTCAAGTATCTATTAACTTTAGTTTCTTCTCCTTTTGTATATGTCCTAGAAAAATTTCTGACAAAAAATAATATAAAATTATAATCCCTAGTATAAATACTCAACGAAAATGGAACAAGAAAATATTATAGCATCACCAATAAATTTGCAGTGTCTCTTCAAATCTTGACATTGGCAAAATCTTAGGAGTCCCGATGGAGTAATAATTAAAAAAAAAATGTAATCAAATCAATGTAGGAAATAACGAAAATCTATTAATGTTATATAAGAGTTATTCTATAAAAGCGAAATACCACTGAAATACTAATTACGAAATCTCCCAATGGTTACTTACGTGATGAAAGCATCAAAGAAAAAGGGTATTTGGGAATGCTTTTGGTCATTTCCAAATACCCGAATGAAAAGAAATGGGTGCCATATAACTGAAATGCAAAGGCAAGTTTGTTACATTTTCATGGCTAAAATGATGAACCAATAAATGATAAAAATTAGTAGCAATTTCGGAAGCTCAAAAGTTAATATTAGAGATATGTACTAATAAATAGAGATACAAATGTTTCGTAAATTAAAAAATAATAATTTAACATTTCCGAATGCAATTTAGTATAAATCTTTCAGAACACCTGATATTTTTGAAGTAATAGTCTGGTTTAGAGAGTTATACAGAGTATCTCGCGAAAAAGATGTGATGTAACACATCACCGCCTACGTACTAAGCCACCACTAATCACTATGGCCAGAAATTATGAAATTATAAGGCTTCTGTAAGGGTTATATATAAGGGTATATACCTAAAATAACAATATAGGTTGGCGCATTCTTATGTAAACCATACAAAGTATATAACTTTGTATGGTATATTATAATACCTTATTTATTGCAAACTTTTAAAACATTTTATTATGATTTAGATTACTTGATTACTAACAAACAATTAATAATCAAGTAATCTAAACTTTGACAAATTTGGATAACTAACCGTTCTATTTAGTACCAGTTTGTGTACTTTTAGAGCCAATTTTCAGAGTAGCTCATTAAATACTAGTATGTTATACTGTCATAATTCAAGCGCTCATAATAACTCCCTTTGTTAAAGAAATTGTTGACTGCCTATTGAATAAATTAATTTTCAATTCTTTACGCAGTCGATAACGTAAAAACTGGAAAAAACGCATGAACGTCACATACTATGGTAGTCACATTGTATTCGTATGTATATGAAATTATCACTTCCATCAAGTGAGCTGCCTGATTTTTACATATATTCAACATGTAGTAGTAATAGTAAAAAGTATAGAAAGTAACAAAACATATATAAACCCCAAAGCAAGATAATTAGTAATCTTCTCTCGATCAAAATTACCAACTAGATAAAGCGTCACAAACTAAAACATAACGAATGTCGAATTGCTAAATAATACATCACAACATAAAACTCTTATTTTAAGGCATCCTCTAGTTATGAAATAAATAAGTGACGTAATTTTTCTAAATGTTAAAAAAAAAATAAGAAGAATGTGCTCTCCTACTTTGGGAGCCTCACCGCCCGTATGTACTCGTAATAGCGAGGACGAGGCTCCCAGAAATCATTAAACTTACCCGACGAAATATTTACTTTTTTATTAGAAAATATATTACTGCTCTATCAGTTTTATTACATATGTGGTGACAGGTAGAAATTGAAATTATTAGCATCCTTTTATAATTCTATTTGTGAAATTAAACATTTATCTCAGAAAACATGTGTCGAAAAATAATAAAAAATACTTCATAGTATTGCACGCGGTGTGTTTAGCTATCAAGATAGTGGAAGAAACACTAACATTTTTGTCATTTTTTGACACATATTTCTTTAAAAAATGTATACAGTTTTACAGATGGAACTCACCCTTGGTACTACATATATACATACATATTCCTAAATACAATTTTATACACATCTTATTTTAATTAATACAAATACTTTAAAATTGTTACTTACCTAATACTTGATTGAATATTTTGTCAAAATTAACTTCATTCTTCTTCTCCATATATTTATGCATTACGCTCCGAACACTGAAACAAAATTCGATATTATCGATTACATATGTAGGTATCTATTATAAGTTATACCTATAGAGAAAAGCGAGTTAAAATGTTGTTTTATCGTGTTGTTTACTTTGTGACGACCACAAAGATATTTTTTATGTGGACAACTAGGTACATTTAGACTTTTTTATGACCTCTGTAACCTAAAGCTATGGGTTATTTGTTGTTTGTAAGAAATTTACTTGAGTATATTAATAATTCATAAATTACATCATAGCTGAATAATGACTTTGCCCTAACGCCATAGGGATCGCTTTAATACTATTTTCTTGTTCTTCGTCTTTTCTATCTTTTCTATTTTTCTAACAGCTCTCTCTCTCTCTCTCTAACATTCCATAAGTTTTCTCTCTTTCTTTGGATTTTTTTTATACAACTTAGAATGGCAAACAAGCTGACGGTAATATGTACCTAGGTACACCAAATCTAGTCCAGTTTGTTTAACTTTTTTTTAAATAATAGATGATAATGAAATGTTATCCTCGCCACGTAAACTGATATCGCGGGCAGTGAAAGATGATAAGTGACGATGAAAGAAGATCAGTTGGTCCATTGTAATGGTTATATAACAAATAAACCATGATAGTTTAGAGGAGGAGCCGCGTAGAGTTCGACCTGATAAAGTATACTAGATAGCTATATTTTCTTTTATAAAATTAAAATAACATGATCTTATCAAAGGTACATATGATCCATATTCTAAGAACAAATTTTATTTTTTCTTTCAACAAACAGCCAACAATTAAAATAATTTTTGAAACATTTAAAAATAACCTCCATATCTTTTTTGATATATTTCATACAAACGAATATCTTTATGTTATTATAATTCGCTAAATCAATTTTTCCAAGGAATGTGTCTTTATATTTTATTTTACATTCACCCAGTTCCTACGTATATGGACTAAAATAATTAAACATGAATTGCCATAACTGTCACCAACTTGCGTGATTTAAAATGCTGCAATAATCAAATAACACGCAATTACGACCTACCACCGACCTGGGCCCATTTGTAATTTTGATGCGGTAGAAGTTTACATAGGAAAACAACTGTAACTTGTGATAGGTCACAAGTTACAAATTCTCGGAATTTTTTTTCTCAAGAGGAAGAGACTGTTAAAAACAGTGATAATAACCTGCCTCTATTATCAGTATAAGATAGTAGTGGTATACTAGTGCCCCACTAATGAGTAATAGTAGGTGAAAATGAAAGCAGATCACTTAGTGCATCATGACAAATTCATCAATTACTAACCACAACAGTTTCTAGGGAGGCAGTTCATAAATCTACCTCTGCCAATATAGGGCCAAATGATCTGATTTTTTATTCTCTGCTGGAGCTCACTATTGTACAATATTAACCCTTCTTTGCGTGATTTTTTTTTATTGGTGAAATAATTTATGTTCAAAATTAAAGGAAAAATGGTTAAAAAAATAAATTCGACAGCTATGGATTTTTTTTTCTGCAATGGACATTAAAAAGGTATCCAGACACGATCAACTTAAAGTGAAATTATTCTTTTATATAATTTTTGGGCATTCAATGTTATGATGGAAATTTCCACCATTATGCAAAGAAGGGTTAACATTAACAATCCTATTCTTTCATAATATTATACTAATAATGTTTCTAAACTTCCAGATTCTGTATACTAAACCTGTTTGTTTTTTGCATGAAAATTTTAAAAACTGTTCTATGAATGTCTTAACATATTTATTGTCATACAAAATAGTGATTAAAAATTATTGTTACACCTAAATTCCCTGATATAGGCCTTTATTAATTGTGACCATTGCGGTGAATGTAAAATAGGACCTACATTTCATTAAGCATATTTAAATAAGCAGAGTAAAATTATAGGATGTAACAAGAGCCACATAGACGTTTAGCCCTTGATTTCTTTTGTCTACAAAATAGTGATGTTATGATAAAATTCATTATATATTTTACTTTGCTAATGTAATGATAAAAACCTTTAGTATAAAATATAAGAGATAATTCTAATTTCTGTTAAAAAAATTTAATACTAATCTATTGCATTGTTGCTTCAGGTTAAGTCCCTAGACACTCATTATCTGTTTCCTTATAACACAGGGTATTCTAACTTAAGAAAGAGGCAATTGGTGTAACATATGATATTATTATTATTATTTATATATTGAAATAGACTCCTGATATCTCAATATATCTCCAAGAGAAGAAATAAATAACACCTATATAAATTTTGCACTTAGTAATCTGGTAGATAAAACAAGAATGTATCTTTTATTAACATTAATGTTAAATTTGTTTAAAAAGTCATCTACCTACTAACCCTTATTCAAATGTTTACAAATAGCATACATTATCTTATAGCTTTTTATGTAGGCTTTCACTTCCTATAAGCAACAATATAATTGTTTGATAAAAAAAATTTGTTACATAAGATTATGTTGATAAAAATTGACAAACATCACCTATAAACAAACACCATCACTCCCATTTTATCACTGACATTACCATTTTCGATGACTAGGTGGTAACTTCCATACCCTGTAATATTACTGCCATATTATACTCTTCAAATTATACAAAAAAACATACTAGAATAGCAATGCAACTTAATACAAAGCCTTCACTGTAAACTATAACAGTCTTGTTACAAACAATTTGTTAATACTAAACCTGAACTAATAAGTAGAGGTATAACCACACATAAAAATAATATATAGCATAAATTTGATATTATTACAAAAAGCAATTTAACACGGAATTACTTGCTACTAGAGGTTAGGTAGTGGATCAGATATTTCCACAGTTTATATATAGTAATCATTCATTAATTTTGGTCATCAAGCAATTGTGCAGTTAGTTTCACCAGAAAATCTATAGTTTTATTGAAAGATTTTATACTTGGAAATAGTTTTAATAAAACTGAAATATATTTGTACATATTATCTAACTTGCTAACATTACTATTTAAATAGTTCTAATATATTTTTGACATTGTAGTACATATTTTTTGCAATTATTTATCACTATTTCATAGCAATTGTAATGTGAAATGGAATATAAATTCAAATATTTTTTAAATCATTAGACAAATTTATAAGTCAGAAGTTATAATTTAGATCAAAAATTTAAGTTATTTAATTTAAAAGTGAAAGAAAATAAAATAATATTTTTTTGTCTTATTTCAAGAACATACATAATAACTATTTGATCTTAAACCACAGTAAAACTAGATATTTTTGAAGTCTATTTTTTTTATATTACAGTTTGGGAGGGAAGGGATTGTTAATAATCCTTCATTTTCATTCTCCCCTATTATCTCTCATTGGTGCTCTGCCAGCATATACCATTAGTGCAAGCAGGGTAACCATTCCATTATCATCCATTAAAAATAAATACCACAGTTTAATAACAGACTTCATTTTGTAATAACAATTGCTTTAGTCTGAAGTTTATTCCAGTAACAATAACAGATACGAAATAACTAATAACACAAATATTGCTGTTGTCATTATATTTAACCTGTGTTTTGTAATAAGATAGAAATGGTCTGTAATCATTCCATTGTTTCTACATACCCTAATGGGAGACAGATAATTATGTATAGTCTTAATTTTAACACTACCTTATATAAGAATTAACCTATATAAGTAGATAAAAATGAATTGTTAAATGTGTTGAATTGCTAAGTGCAAAGCTCGAGAATGGCTAGACCAATTCAGCTTCATATTTATATTTAATGAAATCAGAGGAAAGTTCTTATGATGAGAAAAATTTAAAAGACTGCATAAAAAAAATATAAAAACAGTTATGTTTCTTCCTGAGATAGACTGCCACATTACAATAGCTTTTGACATAACAAAGCCCATTGGGTCAACTAATTATAAATCCTTCTAAATAGTTATTTATTTTATGCTTTAATATTTAAAAATAAGTGCCAAAATAGTCTAACAAATATGTCAAAGTAGTAGAAAGGTATTTTTTTTTATTAATTGTTAGCAATATCAGGTCAACTTCCACTTAGACCATTCTGGGAACTATTTTGATTATTTCCTGATCAATTCACAATGGTCCAACTGACCTGATTTCATCCTCATCTATTATTCCTCATCAGTACCCTGCTTGTATACCAATAATATAACTGATCCACTTTCATTCATTAATATTTGGTATAAAATTCAAATTATAAATGTATTAGAATAATTCAATAATTTATTTTATAGAATATAATTATTATAATTTATAGAATAATTAAGGGGCAGCAACGGAAATGGCCAGTATTTTTTTTTTGTAATAATTTTAAAAATAAACTAAACAGGTCATTTGATTAAAATCATCGGTAACAAAAGTTAAAGGTAAAAACCTGCTTTCATATATATATGCTATAAGATATAATTAATACAAAAAACTTTTTAATTCTATCATCTGATCTTGGTACACTTTGTTATTTGGATAAAATAATCCAGAAATTACTCACTCACTGTGCTAAGTAAAAAAAAAACAAAATTATAGTTTCAATTACTAAGTTTCAAAAGTGTGATCAAATGGATTGGTCCAGATTTAAAGACATTCAGAAATCTATGAGCAGTTCAATTATTACAATAGAACAAGACAAAAGTCTTGTCCTAAAAATGTCTGACTGAGATCAATAACCCCATCTTTTATTGACAATTTTAAAGTAGTTTTTATTTTACTAAAAAAGAAAGCAATGAAATAGATATCGAAAAATAACACAAGAATTACTCTACTAAGAATCACTGATAAAATCAGTATACAAATTTCGATAGAACGACAATATTAAATTTCTATTATGGTCTAACATTTAAGATCATTACTGTAACTAGGTAGATAGTTTATAATCTTGTTAGAATTGTATTTCCCAACATATTGTTTCAATGTTTATTTACAAATATACTCACTTTAATAATTTGTTTTTCATTTTTGTAAACAAGGAAAAGGGAAACTATGGCCAGAATTATGCTTAGTTTTTCAAGGACGTCTTACTAGAATATTATACCTTGGATCTGGCAAAATTATTTTTTTGCTAGCCCTCGCTGCTGGTGTACATTTCGACTTTTCCATAGCCATCAAGTAGCTGACATCTGCCAGCACAGCCTCGAGGTCCGCCATTTTGAGTCTGAATTTATCACCTACACCAGGGCAATAATAAATAACACTTGTCCACAAAACAAACACCAAGCAACTTTGATTGATTTTTAAGTAATAGTAACAACGTCCCTCACATGACGACTGTCTACAGTTTCACTATAAATTTGTTGATGAGTGGTGACACATGCTGATCATTTACATATTATAAGACTTTTAAACAATTTAGGACCATAGGCGAACATTGCATTACATAGTTAAAATAATAATTAATTACACTCCTCATTCATTAATATTATCACGGACACTTGCAATTGTAAATTACATAAAATCACATTACAAGTAGCAAAAATCTGTACACCACCTCCCGTCACTTCGGATGTACACACACTACTATGGATACTGTACACACATAGATATTATTTCTTGCACATATACATAAGTGACATTCATAATTACACACAAATGTAACGTACTTACATTCGCCAATCAAAAATCAGACGTTTGGATACTTTGCTTAAAAAAATAATTTAGTAATTTAAATTTTTGTTGAAGCAAAAATATACATTCCTCATAGGAATATTTAGGGTTATAGATAATATATACTTAGAGTTAGGATATAAGTTTATATAATATATTCATAAATTTTAAGACTACAAGCCTCAATAATAATAGGAAATAATTTGATTTAACGTTCTTATTTTAATATGTTCTTGCTGGATTCATGAACAATGAAACAGCTTGTTGAGTAAAGCCAAATTTTTGGCGAATTTTTGACGTTCGTAGAATAAAGACAAAAAACGATTTGTTTAATGAACGGGAAAAGCAAAAATGTGTTTAAATTTTTTCCTTGATTATCTACAAACCGGCGGGTTTACCATAAAATGAAATTCCAAAATTTCAGACTCAATTTCGTGTTTTTGTTTATATCAAAATCGGACCAATAAATGGAGTTTAACATTTTGTTTATCATACATTCTATCTTAAAAGTCCAAAGAAACAATATTCTTACATTTTTAATATCTCCAAACGGCATAAATTATGTAATTTTAACATCAAATTTGTGTTTCGTTTGTCTCCGAAATTTCGAAAAACAATTCATAGTAGACCCTCAGTTTTCCATCGATTTGGACGAAACTCTGCCATAGATTAAGAATAGTATTGCTAACTTATTGAATGGCCAATTGTTAGTGTCATTTTCAAATTGTCATGATCAATTTTATTTATCTATCACATTTATGATATTTTTAGTCTGTCCTACAATTTATTTTATTTCAATTTGTTAATTTTATAATGATTATGGGATTTTGATGTGTCTGAATTTTTTCATGTTTTAATGCCGGTCAAATAATAATTATTGGAATAGGTATCCGTGCTTTGATTTTCCACGACTTTTATATATAAGTCTGCATGGTAAACTGTTTTTAAAATTCTTTTAATATTTTATTACCAAAATTTAGCATTTTTATTTACAAATATGTATTAAGTAGAGAGAACGTGCCTATTAAGACAGGGTTCTGTTTTCTTTTTCTGTACCGTGAGTTTTTGTGAAGTAAATTTTTGCTTATTATTAATTTGATAACAGTTATCATAATGTTTTGAGTAAATTATTACCAAGCAATTGAGAAGAAACTTACTGATATGTGGTTATAAGAGTTTATCTAATCTTTTGGATATCTTATAGGACAAAATTTTACTGGTGTTATATTTTTTTACAGAATAAACAATACTTGTGTCATATTATGCAACTCCTTTTGATTGTTTGTATACTGATACTTTTTTGTTTTTTGTCTTATTGGTTTATTAATAAATATAATAAAGCCACAGGTTTTATATACATAATCTTAAATATATGTTAACTGATCTATCTTAATGAAATCCTATATGTGCAATTGACATTACAGAATTTGATAATTAAAAGCAATGTTGCTTCTATTTAGTGTTAAAACATAGTGTATCTATATCAAAATGTTAAATTGTATTATCAAAAAAAAAATTATTTAAAAATATAATGATGCAATTTTTGTATTTAATAAAATCAACATGATTATTATGAACTATAATAGTTGATTAAAAGGGAATTCACACTATATACTTTTTATTATGTACATTTTTTGTTATAATGCTTGCATTCATCAATTGGTTAACAAACAAATTTTATAATTGTTTCTTTAAAATCATTATTTAGAGGATAGGTAAAATTACAAAAACTCTTCTTTGAACTTAAATTAACATTATGTACATGCAATGCCACAGGTGTTTACTGGTACTATTTCTATTATTATTGTTTCAGTTGCCATGGAGTATTGCCCTCCAAATGTGACTCTAGCTGAAATATGGGTGGACCATGGGATATCACAGTGTTTTATGGAGACGGTCTCGGCCGTCTTCATTGGTGGATTCTTAATAACCTTTGGGCTTTTTCAAATTATAATGTATAAAAGGTAAACATAAGTTTTTATATTTTCTTTTTTGATATCGGTTGAGGCTTTAATACATATTTTATTAAAGTTCCATATATAATTCTTTTCTAAGATAATTTTTTTGTCTGTCTATCTGTTCATCAAGATTCTAGCCCCCCAGAATAGATGTGGTTACCAAATTCAATGATGTTTTAGGAATCTAACGTATATAGTTTAGGCTCCATCAATTTTTATATTGTAAAAAAGGCATTGAAAAATATTCAAATGTAATATTTTTTTAAAATGTTAAAATGTAACATTTTTTTAAAATGTTAAAATGTAAAATTTTAAAACCACCACCCTGTTTAGTGTCCAAAAGGAGGTTTATTACCTTTTGTAGTTCATTGTAATTAAATAAAATTGCAACTAATAGAGAAAAAAAATGTTGACAGTTCTTTACATAGGAAATTAATATTTTTTAATATAGGCAATATGATGAACCATAATATTTAACAAGCATAAAATAAGCATAAATACTATTGTCTTAAAAAGTACTAAGTAATTATTTTATTGTATTTTTAGTAAAAAAATTTGAATAAACTTATATAGTAGTAGTTATATAGGAATGGACAGGTTGTAATGATAATGAATAAAAATAAAACATCTCTATGTAATTAACTATAAATATTACATTTTAATAACAATAATAATAAAGTTTATTCTCTTCACAATACCAGTTGTACAGCTATTATATTCTAATATATTTATTTTTGGAGGTTACATAAGTTAATGTATTGTGAAGAACTGGTGTCTGAAGTAGGATAAACCCTTGTTACAGATCACCAGGTCCTCATCCCACGGTATTGGCACTATTTTACATTTTGCTCTGGTTATGAATATAATAACAACATTAATAATACATTAACAGTATAGCTAAATTATAATTTAGTTTCTTCTAAACATCAGCTATTAGTGGTATTGAATTGGTTGTGTGTTAAAAACACCTGGTTTTCTGCCTTATTTTGGAGATCACACTTGATTTCATCCTCTTTATCCTGAGCTCATATGTATTGTAAAATAAATGGATTTGAACATAGTACTAGTACAGTTTAGAGGACCCTTCCCTATCAATAAATAATAATCAAATAAATACTTTCAGAACAATGCAACATGATGTCTTATGATTATTTGGGGCATGCTAAATGTTTTAGATCACAGTTTTTATTATTTTATATACTCAAGTACTTTTTATGATTTTAATAAATGTGGTGTTTCTTGTTATGTGTCCTACATGACCATGATAATATGAAACTTGAGAAAAATTATTTACAACAGTTAAGTTTTTGGGACTTTGTAATATCCTCTCAATGTAACTGATAAATACTAGTTTGATATAATTACTAAAGATAGCCTAATTGTTATTATAAAAATGTTACCATGTTTTATTAATATACAAATAATAAATTTATTTTGATTGATGACAAATTTATTACAGTTGATACTATTTTCTAGCACCTACTATGGACAACAAGCATTTATATACTGCATTTGAGCACATCATGAGATGTGTTGACACTGGTCCTTCTGTCTCTTCAGTCACATAAATATATATATACAATACAAATGTTTGTGTTTTTAATCATTATTTATCATTATTATTATATGCTTTAATAATAATTTTGTTATCAGTGTTCTATCAACTGGATGATTGTAATATCTTATTTGATATATGATGTATTTATATTTTGGTATATAGATGATTTTATATATACATTCATGATGTCAATTGTATTAGGTACTACCTATAGTCCGCGACTATGTACACGAGGATTTTATAAGTAGGAAATCTAAAGAAATAAACCACTGCTAAATGACGTATCAAGATAAAACATATACTGTATTTCAAGTTAGATCTTCAGGAACAGAATTATGAATACCGCAAATTTGGTGTGGTAGATTTTGTAAGATGTTGGAACAAACATACAAACAGATAAAATTTCTTAAAATTGGTGCAATAAAGAGTTAATAAATAAATACATATTGGAAACAGTATTTTCCTGACTTACTACATATTTATTTTTGTAATGAATCTAACTTGGGTAGTGGTATAATATCTACTCTACAGATTAGTCTCATAGAAATTTTATCAAAATGTGTTCAGTAGTTTAGGTTTTAGATTAAACTAACTGGTTTTGTCATAATTGAATTCAGTTTTTATTTGGGGGGCACGAATCTTTATGTAGTAATATAATAAACATTTTAACCAACTTCAAAAAAGGAGGTTCTAAATTTGGATGTATTTTTTCTGTTTGTTATCCCAGAACTCTTATTATTTACAAACCGTTTTGGAAAATTCTTTTTTATTTGATAAAATAATCTTTCACATTGACCTCATAGAATTTTATCTAAATAACTGGTTTTGTCACGATTGAAAACATTTTTGTGCAAAATCTACTTGTTAGATTTATACATGTACATATATGCAAAAAATCACTGATTTTTCGATAAGGTTGTACTTACTTGTACCCTGGTATTGATATCCATGCATGGAGGGTGTCATGAGCGTCAGTGTATTTTTGCTACTCATGGCGCTGTTGATGTTTCACGAAGATTACTACATTCCATCAGATGGAATGTCAGTATGTTTCCCATTCTCAATTGATACAAAAAAAAAACCTAATGACGCCTGAGTTATGTTGCGGTAGATTCTTATTACATCAAACCGGCAAATCGAATATAAAAAATCTTGGTCATTATAAATATTTATAGAAAATTCACATATTATATTTATATATTTTACAGGTATGCAACAGAAGTTACGGATGTTCGGGCGTCTCGGATGTTCGCTGTTCAATTATGTTTCACGCTATTTGTACCTGTATTGGCTGTGATAAGATTTATTTTACAAGCATTTGTGTTTAAAGCGGGGCATATCTATGGTTATATGGTATGTATATTGGAATAATCTTCGAATACGTAAAACCGCATACTAGTTTATCTAAGTTATTTATACAAATTATGAAAATGAATGAAGTTAGAAATATGTATAATAATAGAGATCTTCGTGCGCGATTCTATTTGTCTACAACGTGAAAGACTTGGCGTGGAGATAGGTAGAAATATTTAGTCAGTGGAAACGGGACTAGCGTCGGATCCATTTTTATGCTTGAATTTCAAATTAACAATTTTATTTAATTCATTATTATTTCCAGTATACCAAATATATTACTAACCAATACAGATTCTATTTAATTATAATAATTTATGTATTTTCGGCAATGAACTATAGATTGAATTAAAAATTTAAATATATCTACTGGCGTTACTCGAATTAATATTAAATCTTAATGGTGTTTTCCATAAACGGAGAATGAAGAAAAATATCCGTTGTTAATTTTTAATCATTCCATTTTAGTGCTTAAATGAGAATGAAAACTATTTTTTTTATTGTTTTCAAAAATGGCTTAACATTTTAAGGTACCAATCATTACCAAAACCGTTTCGCGTAATCTGTGCAACAAATAGTAAATTCACGCTGTTTTTCTTCTGGATACTGAGTCAGTAATTTTATTAAGATAATGTTATTTACGTACACAATTTTCCGTGTCCTTTAAGCAAATAGCTAAATGACATATTTAATATTTAGTTACTATTATTAATGCGAATACGACTAGCATGAATCAGAAATAAGATTACTGTAATTGAGCCACTACATTATGTCTGAGTAGATATACTACTAGTAGTAAGTTCTAATTTTAGTGGTAGTAAAGGGGTAACTATGGTAGAGTTTTGGGTCTCACTAATTGACACAATAATAAGCTGGTACCGAATTTTCTATTTCCATCGGCAAGCCCTGTAAATCAGAAATGCATGTTGCATATCAGGTCAAAAGAAAAGTGTATCATTATCAAATTGAAAACTAATCCCATGGATTGTAGAATGTGTTTATTAGATAAATCTTATGATTTATCGGAATTTCATCATCAGTAATCACCATACACCATATTAGCTGTAAGACATAATAGTAATAAATTATCGTCAAGATTAAATGTGCGAATTTTTCTTGTAAATGATTTAATATAAAAATGGTACCGGCCTCCTAGTCAAGTGGCAAAGGAGTTAGTCAATATACACGTTTTCGTTAGCATTCTCATGAGAATGAAAAAGGCGCTACATGTTGACCTCCTATTTTAACAGATGCGCTAATATATCTATCTATATATTCCTCTGCCGCTTGTCTAGGGGGATTGGCGTGAGGATAGATTTATTTAGTATGTATAATATTCAATGGAAATTATAGTGTTATTAAAAAAAATAATTAAAGAATTTAAAAAAATATATATTTTCAGATTGTAGCCCTAGTGATCAACCTAATAGTATTTCCAATGTCGGCCTACCTCGCAATCTTAGAGAGGCGATTTCTGCTGCCTTCTGTCCCACCTAGAGGTCACGGATTTGTGCTATTGGTCTTTTGGGCGATGATATTCGTGTCAGAAAATTTATCATTCTTGAATATTAATAAAGAAGGATGGTGGTGGCACCTGAAGGAGTAAGTTTATTTATTCTGTTTTTTTATAACATAATAATGATACATTAGGCTACCGACGAGAGTTTTATACAACATTATATTTCAGACAACTGTAGGCATAATATATAAGAATTTCTTGTTTAAAAGAAAGCTGAATGAATCAAATAAATTATACCGGTTTATAATATAGAATGCTTTTATTCTCGTGAGATATAATGGAAAATTATGCATGTAGCCATTCATTATTATTATTAATAACACAAAAGAACCGCACATAATCAATTTATATAAATTTGAAAACAACAAAAATGTGTAACATAAACATTTTTGTTCATACATATTTTGTATTTTTTTTAATATAAGTTTCCTGTGTATGTTGATTCAGTAGCTCCTGCTGAACCCATTATGATAAAATTTAACAACACATTAAAGAATGATAATTTTTAATGCAATTTTTTTTAACAATAATAATATGCGGTATGTCCTTTATTGTGACATAGGTAACATTAATTTAACAAATTCGAGATGTCGAATTAATCATGTTATTCAAATATAATGTTTAACTTTTTTCAGCCTCCAAGATCGCCTGGAAATGGCTTTGTTCGTTGGACGGTACGTGTCGTGTATGATTATGTTTGTGTTGGGCATGAAAGCGCCAGGCATTATGCACCAGTTTGAGTATCTCGAGAGCGACGACCACCGCACCCATATCCCTCCCAGGGTTTGTATTCTAATATGTTATATATGGATAGTAAATTTTATAATGTACTACAAAAATATAAAAAGAAAAATTAGTTGTTCTTAAATAATAATTATCGTGAGTCATACTGTATTGTAATTGTTTATGTCGGCTTTTCTCACGAATTTATTAGGTATCTCCGAATTTAAAACATTAACGTGGAAATTAGGTACTCGTACTTTTCTGTAATTTACCGGAAAATACTTAAAAAAAAAAGCACTTTTTAGTATTTTATGCTAAATATTATTTACACAACTTTAGATAAAGAATAGTTTTAAGGATTCTTAGAATTTGCATGTATATTTATACTTTATATATATAAATATATATATACATGTTAAGATACTTTGAAATTATATTTTATATTATAAAATTAGTATTATATTATGCCTGTAATTTATATTAAAATTTACTGAGAGTTGAACATTTTTTCTAATAGTAGAGTCTACCTCTTTATTCAATATAATTTAAAGTATAGACTAGTAACAGTTTATGACCAAAGTGTCATTTATTGTCGTTTTCATTTTCCATCCAATATAGAGTTTATTTTCTAAGATTTTATAGGTTAAGATGTCATGTCCATTTCAAAATCATGTTGTTAATGATGAATTCAAGAAATCTTTAAAAAATAAGGTGACTGCATTAAAATACAATACATGATTACATATTTTTCTGTAATTATTTAACTTAAAGAAGAAATAGAAAACCTATAAAATGAAATTTTTAATGTCACATAACACAAGAACTGAATATTTTAAAAATTGATTTGCAGTATTTAAATTGCTATGGACTATTTTTATGTCTACACTTATCAGTCTGTGAGAATTTAATTTAGTTATATCATTTAAATGTCTACTGCTAAATATTATTTAATAATTGTAGGTCTCTTGTGGTGTAGTACTTTAGTACAAGGACGACAAATCCTTAGGTACCTCTAAAGTCTATTTATTATATTTCTATCTAAATAGTGGTGAATTAAAAAGACTCTCAGTTATAAAAGTGCTGTTATTTTAAAGTGTCATTTGCCTATTTTTAATTTTTTTTTCATATATTTAAAAAACAACAGTTTGTAAATGGTCCCTGTGTTTACTTTTATATAAGGTGCTGTTACTTTAAAATGTATTTTCTCTGTTGTATTCTAATCTTTGTAACTTTGGCTGTAGGTGACCCCAGATATACATTGTCTGGGTTCTCGTAACACAGAATAACCACTTTACTTCAATGTGTACTATTATTTTGATTAATTGTATAAAAATATTAATAAAAATAGATTATATTTTTTCGTTTAAAGAAATTATCATTCTAGTTTTATAATTTTGTTTCAGGATGACAACAGATCAACATTTCGCAACGTGTTTAGCAAACTGCGGACACTGTTACCGTTTCTCTGGCCTCGCAAGAGTTTCCTTCTTCAGTTAAATGTCATCATCTGTATCCTGGCACTATTGGCGGGACGAGTCGTTAATCTATACGTACCTATTTATAGTAAAAAAATAGGTAAGTGTATTGCAAAAAATGTGTTTAGTATCCTATAGTCTCTTTCCAGCTGACACATGGTAATTTAATGTGAAATTATCACATTTAACAATAAACTGCAACCAATAAATAAAAAGGTTTGTATTGATTTTTCTCATAATTTATTTCGATAAAAAGGTTCTAAGGCCATTATGTAAAAATGCCAAGTATAAAAAATAGATTGTAAATAACACAGTACCTAAGTTTAGTTACAACAAAAGAATTGATATATCTGCATTTTGTGCTCAACAGTGGATAGTCTGTCTATACCGCCGCTGTACTTCCGTTGGGACCTGGTAGTCATCTACGTATTATTCAAGTTCCTGCAGGGTGGTGGCACAGGTGGCATGGGTTTCCTCAACAATCTGCGATCATTCCTATGGATCAAAGTACAGCAATACACGACAAGGGAGTTACAGGTAAAAATCATTTTTAGTCTAGAGCACATAGAGTTTTAATTTGGGATAAAAGAAATTAAGGTACTGTGCAAAATTGGATATTCTGTGGTTGCTGTATATTGTTGGAATTTGGTCTAAGAGCCTGAAATTTTGTGCAAGAGTCCAATTTTAGAAATTCGCACAGCTAACTAAAAATTTTAACTTAAATACATGTTCCATAAGAGTTATTTTACTTTACCTTCCAGTTAGATCTCTTCAAACATCTCCACGACTTGCCTCTAAAGTGGCACCTGTCTCGTAAGACCGGAGAAGTGCTAAGAGTGATGGACCGAGGCACAGATTCCATAGACAACCTGCTTTCGTATATCCTCTTCTCTATTACACCAACTATAGTGGATATAATTGTGGCGGTCGTGTATTTTATTGCTCAGTTCAATATGTGGTTTGGACTAATAGTTTTCTCTACAATGGTTTTGTATATAAGTAAGTCTTTGTTTTTATTTTTATAAAAATCCAAATTCTTCCGATTTAATTAATTTGGTATATGTTTTATTTTTATAACTTTAAAAGTATAAAATTGGTTATTAAAATTACTTGTCATTAAAATGTTTGTGTATAAATATAAAATATTTATATATATATAAAATAATATATTTTTAATAATTGCAATTAAAACAACAGCTTTTTACGTAATTCTTTATAGTAAACGAGAAAAATATTTGAAATGTGTATTTTATTCAAAATCTTGTAATTATACCCATACATTACAGTTATTACTTACAACTCGAAAAACTTCTTAAGTTTTGTTTAAAAAAAAGTCTTATTTGTTGCTTGATTAAATTTTAATTTTCTTTTTTTACTCAACACTTCATCTTGGTATACATGATCTAAGTTAATAATACTTGAACACACATTTATTCATCGCTACATTTCAGTTGCTACGGTAGTAGTAACGGAATGGAGAACGAAGTACCAACGCCGTATGAATCTTGCTGACAACGAACAGAAGGCGCGTTCTGTCGACTCGTTGCTCAACTACGAAACAGTCAAGTATTATGGCGCCGAAGGATACGAAGTGATTTCATATAGAGAGGCTATTGTTAATTTTCAGGTCGATATAATTTCATACATTCATTTTGCAATCCTATTATTAATTTTATGGTAATTAATGATATCTATATTGCGAAATTTTTTTGAAGCACATAATACACGACCATTTGTGGTATAAAAAAAATCAGTTCTATGATATGGTTGTAAATTCCCTGTGGTGTATCCATACTTCTAGAAATAATAATAACACTTTAGTCCAATATAACTATTATAATGGATTACATTTTATTTTACGTTTTTACAGAAAGAAGAATTCAGATCATTAATTACACTCAACATGCTGAACACAATTCAAAATATTGTGATTTGTAGTGGTAAGTAATAATGTGACATGTATATTTTTTATCTACATTATATCTCGCCGTTCATAGATATTTTATTACGTTTGAAATTGCTGTATTTTTGTAGAACAACATTTTCTTATTCAGTTTGCATCTGCATCCTAAATTGTTTAATACCCCTAATGTTTTTTTTTGTTTTTTTGTAAGTCCAGCGGGACTCTGGAGTTTAGTTTGTCGACCACTTTGAGATAAATTGTGTCGACCACTTTGAGAAAAATTGCTCTAAAACTATCTTTAAAATTATTCTGAAATTAGAACATTTTTTCAATCGGCTCAAAATTCTAATATAAACTTGATGAAACAACAGGTTTACTGGCTGGTTCGTTGCTTTGTATATCGATGGTAGTCAAGACGTCACAACTTACCGTCGGTGATTATGTGTTGTTCGCTTCCTACATCGTGCAGTTATATGTACCGTTGAATTGGTTCGGAACATATTATAGGCGAGTATTGATTTTGATAAATATATATCTATTCAAATATTTATGGAAACAATCGTTTCAATTCAAATCGTTGCTTTGTAGATCTACATTTTGTGATTTTTTACATTAACTCATAACTACATATCAATCATTATTATTAAATACTAGCTGTCTTTAACGTAACGACGAATACGCGACTTCGTCCGCGTTTCCGTCGTTTTTCGTAAAATAATTAGCCTATGTCCTTCCTCACGGTTCAGTGGTTTTAATGTAACAGACACATTTCCCTTCACTGCTCTGCTCCTATTGATCGTAGCGTGATGAAAAGTATAACCTGCCCAGGAACATGAAGAATAATTGTACCAAGTTCCGTTAAAATCCATCAAGTAGTTTTTGTTTCTATAACGAACATGCAGACAGACAGACAAACAAAATTTTTATTGATTGCATTTTTGGCATCAGTATCAATCACTAATCAGCCCCTGATAGTTATTTTGGAATATATTTCATGTACAGAATTGACCTCTCTACAGATTTATTATAAGTACCTATAGATAAATGTTGTAGGTGTAAGATTTAATTAAAATGAACAACATCAAATATTCTGTCAATCTATGACAGAATATTTCATTTTTACATTTATTGATATTGTGTCCAATGTTTACTTCTTATTAAAATGAAAATTTTAAATCAATTTTGGTGGTAAGCAGCCACTGTAGTCTATATAAAGGCATCACTCGTGAGTTCATTATGACAGTGTCTAGTAATTTCGATCCTATATCTCCTCAAACTAGAAAATAGCAAGCAAGAAAGAAACTTGATGCCCGAATTAATTGGTGGCATAGAGGTACCAATACCAATGACCGTAATCCTATATTTAACTATCTAAAATCCTATCGTTTTAGGGCTATCCAAAAAAACTTTGTGGACATGGAGAATATGTTCGACTTAATGCGCGTTGATAACGACGTAAAAGACGCAATAGGTGCACCCGAGTTGCTCGTTCGACGCGGCGGAATCGAATTCAAACACGTCTCCTTTGGCTACGGACCTGAGAAATTAATACTGAACAACATCAGTTTCAAAGTCGCACCAGGCAGTACTGTCGCTTTGGTAAGAATGTTACTCTATATATTATTCTTGTATTATTTTAATTAAAATTCTTCTCTATGGTATGTTAGGATGATAGGTGGTAGACGCGCTTTGAGTATTAAGTTTTTATACGTATGAGAAGTGTATATTTCTTTGTTAAATCCTCGCTGCAATGTCTAAAGCAATTTAATATGCCACAACCAATTGTGTTTGCATGGCTGTGTGTTTCGGTTTGAAGGGTGGGATATGGCATGAATGTACTGGGTACAGAGGAATAACACCTGAGTCCTCAGGAATGGCAACGCATGGGAGGTATCATGGGCGAAACAGTATATTCTGTTATGCCCATGGTACTGCTCATGTCTATAGGCGACGGTTACCACTTTCCATCAGATGGGCCATCAGCTTGTTTGCCATTCTAAGTTGTATAAAAAAAAATATAGTGGGTTCTTTTGGACATTAATGGCGAAATATGGTTATTATTCATTCCGATATCGTCCGTACCGGTCGGATATCTATATTAATTTCGATCCATTCTTCATTTTGACATTAAATATTGCATAACAGATATTTAACATATTCGTTTTTAGGCCATTATATAGATTTTGTAACTAAAATATATAGATATTGCTGTTTATTACCCATCCCTACGTTTATTTAAAATCTTTGTGTGCATCAATCATGCTTGAATCGTCACCCATGTGGCAATACTTTGCTACATTTTCGTAGTCTTTTTTTTTTATATGAATTGAAAATGACAATCATCGCCAGTAGATATGCAATACGCTATGGACGTCGCCAAATACTCTTATGGCTATACCTATGGTACACCCCTTGCCTTGCTATGGTCAATAATAATACAGCTATTCAAGCATAGCTGCTTGAGGCAGAAACACCAGAGTGAGACAGTGATACTATGCAGACAACTTTAGAACAAATTCTCCCTTTGGTAGGTGGGTCCGAGTGGCGCAGGCAAGTCGACGGTGATGCGGCTACTGTTTCGCTTCTACGACGTGAATGAAGGTGCGGTACTAGTAGACGGACAGGACGTGCGGACCGTCACTCAGGCATCATTGCGCGCCAACATCGGCGTTGTACCACAGGACACTGTGCTTTTCAATAACACCGTACGGTTAGTATGCTATTCGCTCACTCTTACATACGATGTGGGGTGATACACTAGTATAATTAATATTGTTACTTACTATTCCATACACTATGATTGCTCCCAGTTCGCCTCTCCATATAAACTTACACTTCTCTCTGTGATTCCATAAACACATAGACACACACCGAGACATAACATAACATAATATACTATGTTATGTCCCATGGTACTGCTCATGTCTATAGGCGACGGTTATCACTTTCCATTAGGTGTGTTGTCAAGTTGTTGGCCATTCTAAGTTGTATAAAAAAAAACAAAAAAAAAGCCGAGAGAGAGGGAGAGAGGCATTCAACTATTTGCACATATACAAATGTAGTTTTATTGTAAAAGTAACAGCTATGGATTATAACTGTAAGGAAATAGCCTGTCCCATTAATAATTTCTTGAAAAAGTTTTTAATTTTAATAGTACATCTTTTTAATATAATGAAATTTTAACAAGACAATGTCTGTACATTGGAGATATTTAGAAAAAAATTATACGAAATGTTTCAATAGGAGTACGAGAAGCCAAAACAATAATAGTTAATTTTAAACTTTCGCTTTGTTTACACATATTTTAAATTGGGACTTAACGCGATATAAAAGCTTTTACAGGCAAGCTTTACATTAAGTCCCGATTGTGTATTCAAAACATAAATATTTTACATTTGTTTGTCTGTCTGTGTTTGTTCTATATTCTTTTTTTATTTATTTATTAATGGCTTTATATTTTTTATTTCAGATATAATATTCAGTACGGGAAATTGACTGCAGAATCAGCGGATATTATATCTGCTGCCAAGAATGCTGACATTCACGATAGAATACTTACATTCCCTAATGCTTATGACACGCAGGTAAGAATTCACATTTCGTAGTCGTGCTGTCGGATATTTCTTGATTTTTAGGCATGTTTTCACCAGTTCAGCTAATATTTAAATTTATTTTAAAAGGAATTTCTTTATAACACGCCAACGTTAACTACTTATTATAGTTTGGTTCACTTGAATTAAGATAAAAGCTGTAGTTTCTGTTATTCTAGGATATATACAGCTGAACAAATTCTATTAAAATTTGTTCAGCTGTTTACATGTCATGTATAATAAAATATATTTACAAACTAGTTTCTAATCGATTGAATTAGAATAAATATAATTCATGATAATTAATGATACCGTGTGATTTCGGCATAGAATGGGCCACCTCTTTCTTTCCCGTGAGTGTCGTAAAAAGCGACAAAGGGAATATAATGGTAGGGAGTTGGGCAGCAGCATCTCTCTTAAAAAATCACCAAAGTTGATCGTCAAGTATGACAACGACTGGCAAAACCTCACAATGGAGAGGTTTAGCAATGGAAAGTAATGGTTGATAATGATGATTAAATTTACTTTCACAATTGTAATATTAGTAAGAATTTCAACAATAACCAAATTTGATCATCTATTATAAATTATGTATTAAAAATTACTTATAATAATGAGTGCTGGTTATCAGTAGATATTCTATAAAATATATAGAATATTTTTTGTAATAAAAAAATAAATATTATTCATTCACATAGGTGGGCGAAAGAGGCCTACGTCTCAGTGGTGGTGAGAAGCAAAGGATAGCTATTGCGCGTACAATCCTCAAGAACCCGGCTATCGTTCTGCTTGATGAGGCTACATCTGCTCTGGACACCAACACGGAGAGAAATATACAGGTAAGACCATGACATATTTTATAATTTGATTATAATGGTGATTATGATTATATTAGTAAGATTAGAACAGACATACTTCAACTATTGAAAATAGTTAAGACAATTCAGGGTATGATAGGACTGATATACCTGAAAAAGGTTAAAACTCTTAGAATAAAAAAAAAGGTTTAGAAAAAAAACATACCTAGTGAAAAGAGAGTAAACAGTATTTTATTATCCTGACAAATCACATGTTTGCATATTTAGTTGTTACAAGTATCAATAACATAGCTATCATATTATTAAATCTAAGTAGGTCATAAAATCAATAGCCTAAGCCTTGTGTAATATGAATAAAATCATTATGCCTACCCCAAAAAATTTATGATGATGAATGAGCTCGATTATAAGGCACTATATTATTCTCTATCTCCAATACTATAATTTCAATTTGATATTACAGAAAAATTATATTATTTGTATTTTACATTTAGTTCTCGATTATTTAATTTTGGAAATAAGTAGCACAAAAAGTGTTAGAACACAATGTTCTAACACTTTTAGGATTGGTGTGAAATTGTTACCAATTCATAACTTTTTAGATACATTTTAATATTCATTTCTGCAATTTACACAACTTATATTCACAACCAGTTTTGCATTTCCTAAAGATATCTACTTTTATCATCATATTTCTATCTTCAGCTCGCTATTTTGTTTGTATCTATAGTTTATAAACATTAAATATAAATTTTCAGGCTGCGCTAGCTCGCGTATGTGCTAATAGGACTACGCTAATAATAGCACATAGGTTATCTACCATTATTCACGCTGACGAAATCCTTGTACTCAAAGATGGAGAAATCATTGAAAGAGGAAAGTGAGTATATGTTTGAATGTTTGTTGTTATTCATAAATATATATTTTTATGTAATTTAGAATAAGCTGATTTAGAATAAGCTAACCTACCTTAAGTAAAGTGGTAACTGTTACCTTTTAACGTAACGGAACTATTATAACAACAGTGTCAAAAAAAAGATGTAGGTGATAGCGCTTAAAAATGTGAACACATTTATTTATTTATGAGATTATATGTTAAAGCAAATGCTGTGAATACCTTTAATAGGCATGTGCATTAATATTGTTTTGTATTTAATGTTTGTTATATGTGTTATAATGTAATATGCTCTTAGTGTTCCTATAAAAATATGAACAAATATAGAATATTATTTACCTCTGTGGTAACAGTTAACAAAGTGCGTTTTTTTCTGGTTCATAAATTATCAACTGAAACGAAAACTGTTAAACTGTTCAAATGGATTAATCAGTAGAAAGAAGTATAAGAAAAATATAGTCTTATGAAATAACTGTAACTGTCTTATTTTTTCAGTCATGAAACTCTGCTTGCCCAAAATGGTTTTTACGCGGGAATGTGGCAACAACAATTGGAGAGCAGAAATGGTAATGACAACAACAATGGTGAAGGAAATAACAATAATAGTGAAACCGCTCCCAGCCAGACTGAAGGAGTTAGCGCTTTTGGCCATGGACACGGCCATGGTGCTATCTAGATGTAATACATTCATTGGAACTATGTGATAATGCTAGTCGGCAACCGTAGTGCCACTATCATGATTTCATTAATGAAATTGTAGGGTTGACAATTGTTCATTGGGCCAATTGGACATGGCTGAACTTGACTGCAAACTGACATGTAAATAAATAAATTCTACCGTTTATCGGCTCATAAAACCACTTTGGCCTTGTAATTAGTGCTGTAAGTGCATAGTGTAATCGCGAATTTCATCGTAGTGCACACCTCAGAACACAGTCGGTTGTACATAATGTAACATTGTGATAATGTAACTATATTGTATGTAGTAATATTAATATATTTCGGTGGAAAATTTTATGTACTATTTCAGTGTTATTAAACTGTTTTTATTATGATTATTCTAGTTTTCAATCCCACATTTTTTTTTTTCATTAAAACAGATAAAATGAGTTTTAGAGTCTGTTTTCTTAAGTTAATGTAAAGGAATAAGTCCATTTACTGGATACATAAGAAAGAACTGTAGAAGATCAGGCTTAAGATTTATTTTGTAATAATGTATTTATGTCTTCCTTATAGTGGCCACAAATAACAGTTGATAATCAATTGAAACAAAATATTATAAACACTAAAATTTAATATAAAATATATCTATAATATTGACAATATTAGTAAAAAAATATATACCTCGATGTAATGTCTTTATTGTCAGAATTTGCGAAGTGTCAATCTTAATCCTGTGATCAATAAGAATATATTTATCAGAATTGTACAAAGAAACAAAGTGCCCCGTGTTTGAATAATTTGGTGGTGTACTACGCCATTAATTTTCAAGAAATGTTAATTCGAATCAACCTTGTGTGTTGAGAAAGTACGAGATAGCATTTAGGTTCATTTTATATAACGTGGATTTTCTATATTCTGTGGCGTATAGGCTCGTCAAATATGTACACTAACCATATTCTGTTTTATAAATCATGGTGAGTCTCTAGCTACCTCAAAATACAATCTGGACCTTATTGATTTAATGATAGGGTTTATTTTTTCAGAAATTACTATTAATTTTAAAATTGTATTTAAAATTTAATCTTTTTGACACAAGTAGTTACCAATGAGAATTTTCATCACTAAGTTATTTTCTTTACAATTTACCATTTACCAATATCTAAATAATTTATTAAAAATACTTACATCTGATAACGAGTAAAGTGGTGTGTCGCCGGGTAATCGTAATCCATATAGCTGCCCTCTATCTTCTAAAAAAGTAGGTAAACAAGAATTATCACTGTTACCTCTGATCTCATCTAATTCATTTTTGAAATCTGAACGTGTAACTCAATTTTAATTTTAATTATAAAGTAGTCGATTCTCGTAAGCTACGTGTCTTGTTTCCATGGGAACTTCCAAAAATCCTCGCTGTATATAAGCATTATTAAATATTTCATGATAGACTTAAAAGTTTGATTCGCTTTTATATAGACATACACAATAATTATAAGAATTTATCTTTATTATTTTTTATTTAAGACTAAACTACTAAACCGATTTTGATGAAATTTTTAGAGACTCAATCTAAAATTATATTTTTACAGATAAAAAAGAATTTTCCAAATCGGTTTATGTAATGACATTTTGAGGTACAAAAAGAAATATAATCGAATTGGGAACCTCCTCCTTTGTTGAAGTTTGTTGAAAAGCTGTGAAATTACAATACAATTATAATGTTACAATACATACATTAGAATTACGAATTACCTGAACCTTTTCTAATAGTTTTCACCTTTACTTTCGACGCCCTCAGTCCTTCTTGGTACTTCTGATTCTTCAGTTGATACTCGGATACGGACATCGCTGGACGTGTCTTAGCATACTCTACGCTTCGTATAGAATTTTCTAGTTTATGCTCCATTTGGTCTATGGTCTTCACGTAATCTGAAGAGATTTTACGGGCGACCTTTTTGCCGTGTTGCAAGTTAAGAACGTGCTCTATAGAATCGTCCTCTATAGTAAGCGAATGGCGGAGATACCTCTCTCTGCTGTCTTCGCTCTTGATTCGACAATTTGGCGAATATGTTAAGAGAATACTTTTTTGTCGCATTTCGGACATTGGTCTGAAAATCAGATAAAATATATTAAAATTAAGAATTTTAAATAAATAATGTATTATTTAATATTGATATTAAAAATTTAAGACTCGAGACTGTTACTATGATTATTGACCAATTAAAATGCGTATATTGTGCAGATAACATATTTAGGAAATTAAGTATAAAATGCAAATATTTCATTTGATATTTAAGTATTAATTTTATTTTACAAAAATGCCATCACAAACTTTCACATGTCCAATATACGTGAGATTAATACCTATAATCCTTCAAAGTGGGTCCGAAATCGTCAGTTAGAGTGACATCATCGTACAGCCTTTGCAGTACTGACGGTCGTTGTACTTGTGTATCTGAATCGACGATATCCGCCGCACGCACAAAGTCGGTGGGTCGTCGCGTCGCATGAGGAGCTGGCTGACCTACTGCTGATGGCGCTATACGGACTTTTCTGTAAAATTAAATATATTTTATATTAAATAGGTTGCAAACAAAAATACAGCACGTCTAATTGTAAACGGTTACCGTAGCCTATGAATGCTTGCAACCCTAAGAGTGTCACAAGTGCATTTTTTTAATGGATAAAAATGGGATGATAACCCCACCTGTACTATCAATATAAAGTAGCGTGATTCCAATGAGAAATGATAGGTGAGAATTCCATGGGGTCAACCAGAGGGTGCATGGCGAGCAATGTAGCTTTTAACCCCTTATTACTAATAATCCCTTTCCCTTCGTCACTAACACATCGCCGACCTTGAAGAAACATTAATGAATTATTTTTGAAGAATCTCATTCTAAAAAGAAACCTTGGCAGTACATTTCATAAGCTTAGCATTCGCAGTGCACTGTAAATACGTGACCATTTATCTTTTAAGGTGGGATAAATTTTCTGGAATTGATCGATGGCGAGCGATGCGATTAATGTTTCTTTGATATGTATAAAATGTAGACTCATACAGGATTTTATTAATACGTACATTATAAAAAATCGGTCTGATTCGTATGATCAGTAATTTCCAATTAAATTTACCTAATTGGGAATCGAATTCGGAACTCATTTACGCAAATTAATGTGTCTGCTCCCCTTTATGGGGGAGGCCTATGTTCAACAATGGATAGTTAATGGCTGATGTGATAATGAATGTGCCTGCAATCGAGCTACGAAGGTTGTTATTAGGTTATCAGTACAAAATATTCTTCCATTATGATTAATTTTATATTTTAAAACATTTCCGGGAGAAAAGCCCATGAATAGGTACTATAGACGAATTTAAAACCGTTAAAATATTTTTTTATCTGAAAACAAAAACACAAAAGTAAAATAAAGAAAAATAACCGCGTCGTAAATTCGTCCTCTTCGTCGGGAGAAAATTCGTCGGACTTATTTATTACATGTATCTTTTCCAAATCCTCTGGTCGCACAAAGCCAGTTTGTCTCCGCTTTATCGTTTGATGTATCCCAGTGTCTGTAGTTGGTACACTAATTGACACCTTTCTAAAAAATATCTTACTGATATTAGTTTTTAATATTATATAACGATTTTTTAGTTTTGTAGTTACTCCTTTTAATTAACTAATACAGCCCTGTTATCTTCTATCATTTGTACTCGATAAATGTCTTTCGTAATTTTTCTTTTATCAATTCTCTCTAAATGGTCGAATGAACGCAACATTCCCTTTTCGATTTTTGTTACTACATCGTCTTTCGGTCCACACCTCTCTAATCACGATATTTCTCACTTGTATCTTTTAGTGCAATACCACACATACACTTAGAACTCTCATCCATAAAGCATTTATCCTACTTTCATACTTCTTCTGCCATAACCACGATTCGTATCCATACATGAGTGATGATGCTATAGTACTTTCTGAATTATGGCAAGCTTTGCTCGATACATTTTTACTTGTCATAATTGACCACTAGTTCCCGATAAATGACATAGCTTATAGCTATATATAGATAATGGCATAGCATAGTTTTCATAGTAAAATGTATACAATTAACTTATTTTCACATCTATAAGACAGCTATTTCTCGCAGCGTCACCCAATTTTACCATGTGGGTAGTAAACATTTATAGACTTACTTTTCTTGCGTATTACGGGCCCGTACATCCGCTGACTGTAATCTACAACAACGATAATTGCCAGTATACATAAAATTTTAATTTTAAGGAAAAGAAATAAATTGCAATTCATGTTTGAATACCAACAGTAGACAAACATATTCGTATTGGTGCTATTTCCTTACCTGATTCTCCTTAGTTTCTCGTCAGTTACTACCTCTGACCTGTTGACAATTACTCAAACGTTAATATTACCTATTTACTTCGATACGATGTGTGATTTACGGAAGCGTGTAAAAGTAGAAGCATTTATTTTTAAGCGGAAAAATACACGGCTTATCTTTTGGTATAGAAAGATCGTATCAAATATTGATGATTCTGTCAATTTAAAACTTACTTTTTGCTATTTTCAAAGTCGTTTAACTGAGTAACGCCTTTTGCAATTCCTTTTATGACCTCTCCAGCGAAACTTACTCGATCCATGTTTTGTCTAGAAAGTATTAAGAATTATTTTTATTTTATTTTCGAAATTAAGTTCAATATGTGTCTACAAATTTGTTAGACAATGGCGTAGATTCTGAGATGCCATTTCTCTAAACTTATGTTTAAAATTAAATTTTCTATTTTATATCACAGTAAATTCTTTATAACCAGGATCAATATGAATTTAAATGAAAATTATTATAATTTTCATTTATGATTGTCAACAGAAATTTCACAATTTTTTAATTAAACATTAGGTTAAGAGACAGGTTCACTGCATAAAATACATGCCTAACATTCTATCGTGAAGCAGTTGTATTGTATTTGCATGGCATTGTTTCGGTTTGAAGGATGGGATATGGCAGTGAATTTACAGGATACAAAGGAATAACACCTAAGTTCTCACGAATGGCAACGTATCTTGGGCGAAACAGTGTACTCTGTTATGTCCATGGTACTGCTCATGTCTATAGGCGACGGTTACCACTTTCCATCAGGTGGGTCGTCAGCTTGTTTGCCATTCTATGTACAATAAAAAAAAATATAGGTTCCTGTGTAGTCCCGGCATGGGCCACCTCTTCCTTTCCCGTAGGTGTCGTAAGAGGCAACTGAGGGAAGTTAATGGTCGAGGAATAGGCAGCAGCGTCCCTCTTCAAACATCATCAATGGCTAACTGTGGTTACCAAAAAATAAATATCTCATATGTACAGAAATGATCTAATTACAATTATATTAACAATGTTTAAATACGAGTTTAAGTAGACACCTACAACATTTTACAACATTCGTTCCACTCCATTACAAAAATATGTAGTAATAAAATTCTTACTTGAGATATTTTTGAATTTCTCTCTCGTCTTCAGAGTCCAGAGATTCCGCTGAAAATAAAAAATAGATATAACCTTTGTAATATCATAAATAAAAATATGTGTCTAGGTATATAAAGACATTAGAAATTCAAAAGTATGTATGATAATAATAGTTTTTGATAATAAGCAACTGAGTTGCATTTTTAATTTTAAAAATTATTTAAATAATAGTGTGTGATTTTTCTTCTTTCCGGTCAGTTCCGGAAGGAAGGAAAATCACAGAAAAATTAGAACTTTAGGTAATTGGTAACAAATTAACGATGTTGCAGATGTAGCGACTTAATACATCGTCTCTAGGGGAGGGGATTTTATAGTGATGACGGGTTATATGATTAGAATAAATTAGGTAATTAGATAGATAGATAGATACTCTTTATTGTTTTCTCTAAAAGATTACAATAGTAAACTTATTATAGTAATTAGGTTATTTGATATGGACTTCCGCAACACCTAGTTCAGTTTAGCTTGCACAGTAAAAGATTTGGTGTAAGTGTGGGAGTTGTGTGAGTTAATTTGTATAATTATAAACATTTGTATCCATAATATTTGTATTGATCTGGTACAATCTGGGTGTTTCGTATATTTTAATTTTGCTGTTATAATACTGTAATAAAATTTTGATACACAAGTACTAACATGATTCAGATTCCGCATCATTTGGCAAAGTAAACATTTTTGAAGGATATGAAATTCTTTTCTGAGCTGAATATTTCTTTGGGGCACTATGCTCGAGGTCAGATTCTAGACAATAATCTCCTTTCAAAAATCTGAAATTAATTAATCATTTAAGTGAATTAATCTTCACTTCAAAATATCATACTCCTAATATGCCACTTTAGGAAGTAGTAAAAACACTTTTATGTAACTTTGAATGCCAAATAAGTTGACGTCCTATCTGCACAGCACCACATATCGTAAAATATTACTACACTGTGATGCTCATATGTTGTTATCCCTGAAAAATACAGTGTTTCAGCTTAATATTTGAGAGATGGTAATAATGTCCCTTTTAAAACATTATCTAAAGCTTAACTGTGGGTACCAACTCTCCTGCCAAGCGTGGCAACTACTGGTAAAACTCCCATTATAAGAAAGGCTTATATTCAGCAGTGGACATTGGATGTTATATAATGTTGCTGCCCTTCGAACTGAAACAGTATCATAATCTTTATCTGTGTAAACACGCAACACTCAGTTTCATGGACTTAAAAAATTTCTATTTCAATTTACTATATCAATGTGTCTCGCATTTTTCGTTCATGTTATTTTATATATTGTAAAATATCAGAATAAATAAAAGTAATTTATATAAATCTATTTTATTGTCAGCAAGTTCCATCGTTCACCCTCCCTTCATATATCGCCTATTCATAAGGTTCTATCTATAAATGGAACATACAGCCCGAAGTATATCATCCCGTTACCCATGATAAATATCTTGCCATCACGGCAAAATGACTCGATGACACAAGGACGCATCCGAAACTCCCATAAAAAGTTCCGTCGCTTGATATTTTATAATACTTATATCATGTAAATGGCATTGTAGTGACTATATATATTTTATTTCCATGGCTATAGTCATCTAAGAATGATGGTTGTCCTGTTTATCTAATTCTGATTGGTAATCAATAGGATAAGACACCATACCATAATATACCATGTCTCTATTATTAATATATCATAGGAATACATATGTATACAAAAAATACTAACTTCTTCAAATCATAAGTGGAATCGACTTCACCAGGATACGGCACGTCTGTGAGTGGAAAATAAAACGGCTTCTCTGGCTTTACTTCTATACTTGCTGCATCTTCCAATGAGACATGCTGGTACGAAAATTCTTCCAATTCATATTCGCATATTTCCTCAATATCATTGTGGACGGGCTCGCTTACCACCGACGTACCGCGTTGGTTATCCGAAAGTTGTTTTTCAATGTCTTCCTTTCTACGGATAAATCTAAAATAAAAACAAATACAAAGTTATGTAACCATAGACATATATCGTAGAGGTTCAGGTAGATCTACTCGTTATTTTCGTGATTTCTAGATTACACTGGATTCTCACGAATACACTTATTTATGTATAGATACTAGTAGATCACTCTCTTACGACAAGTCTTTTAGCATAGCAATGTAATATTAATGACAACTAATACCTTTTAGTAGCCCGTATATTGCCTACTGCATCTTCGATTTCTTCTCCAACTTCATCCTCAACTGGTATTTTTTCTTCTGCAATCATCCTAAGTTCTATTTCTAAGAATACTTTTTCCATCAGTGCCTAGAACACAGATATAAATGGAAAATAAATGGTTCTACGGCTTGATGTCTCGAACTATCGACATTCAACATATTTTTACCTCATATAATAATTCTCCGACAGCTATGAGGTCCTCTATGTGCCTCTGGATATAAGCCTTAGTCCCTTTGTTTATTGTACTATCTTGGCATTCCATATTAAAAATACCGCTTTTATAGATTATAATGTTCTCCTTTGGAGATTCGTACGATGTCGGTACACTTTCGATCTTTTTCAATGTTTCGTCTCCATCGATCAATTGTCCAAAAGCTACATATTTATGTTCCATCCACGGAGCGGGTTGTAATAAGACGAAAAATTGTGTTGAACAGTCTACGTGCCTGTAACAGGTATTTAACGATTTTACTTAATAACTGCCACCATCTGTACACGATACTGATTACATGATAAATCATCATCGCCTTATCTGTCATTACCTATCCACTGCTAAACGTAGGCCTCTCCCTATTGGGGGATTTGCCAGATTGACAACCGCAGTTAGGCTTTGATGTTTAAAAAGAAAGGCTGCTGCCCATCCTTCAAACATTAAGCTCCCTTAGTCGCCTCTTACAACACCCACGTGATATAATCGTCTAATATCAACCGAAACATTATGTTACATTACATGTAACAAAATTATGTTAATGTTAATTTGTTAACCAGAGGGAGACTTCATACAAAAGTCATTTGCTTGGGCACCTTTGTCCCATTCGTGTTTCTACCGTGAAGAAGTTGTGTTGTGGGCATATCTGTGTTTCGGTTTAAGGGTGGGATATGGTATTGAATTGACAGAGAACAGAGGAACAACACCTAAGTCCTCAGGAATGGCAACACAAGGGGAGTATCATGAGCGAAATAGTATACTCTGTTATGCCCATGGCACTGCTCATATCTATAGGCAACGGTTACCATTTTCCATCAGGTGGGCCGTCAGCTTGTTTGCCATTTTAAGTTGCATAAAAAAAATATTTAAAACATAACCTTCCGTCATTAGTCATACAAATCACACCGCGTCTATCGTGAGGTATAATAAAGTTCTCGCAATCTAAATCTGAGCTCTTCAGACCAAATCCTCCACACTGTATCCAGCAATCCTTTACTATGCGGTGTACGGGGGTACCGCTGTATCCACCTTTCTTTGCTTTGCAAAGGCGTAAAAAATTTTCACAAGTGTAGGGTACAATATCTGCATACAACTAAAATTAAAATTAATTTCTTTAAACTATGAAGAATAGGAATGGAGAATTAAGGCTTATTCGATCTAAAATGGTAACCATAGTTATGAAAAATATCTATTCATGTAGGTATATTTTACCTAAATTGTATTTCTCATAAACTCCTCAATCAGCCATCATAGGCAGCTTAAACAGGATCATTCGTAACGAGTATATGTAAGCGACGCCGACGGTTAGTAATATTGCTTTATTGAAATCTAAATTACCGGAATGCTTGGGTACCTCTATCTCATTTGTGTTTCAACCGTAAAGTAGTTGTGTTTGCATGGCATTGTTTCATTTTGAAGGATGGGATATGGCAGTGAATTTACAGAATACAGAGACATAATACCTTTCTCCTCAGGAATGACAACGTATGGGGGGTATTATGGTATGTGCAAAACACTATACTCTGTTATGCCCATGATACTGTTCATGTCTATAGGCAAAGGTTACCACTTTCCATCAGGAGGACTGTCATCTTGTTTGTCTTAAGTTGTATAAAAAAATATCTATAAAGCAGTGGCGTAATAATAAGGTTATCACCCTGTCACTGGCTGTTACCCATGGCTTTTTGTCCACTCTGTTAGCGAGCAAAATACCACGAGCTCCCGGCTTGTAAGAGCCCTAGTTCAAGTGTTCGTGTGCACAGGAAAAATCTAACATTTGCTGCATAATTAAAAAAAAAAATATTTAGTCAATTTAAGAATCATAATATTAATTCAATAACTTACACGAATTATACAAATAAATTATCAAGATTTCTATAATTAATTTTCTAATAAAACCAAAAATAGACATAAATTATTGTAACAGTGTTGGTAAATATACTTAGTGGTATATTATATATAAATGAAACTACAACATGAAGCTTTATTAGATTAAGGGAGGGCCTCAGATGAATTTACCATGGGTCCTAGATAATTGTTACGCCACTATTATATAGTCTTCTGCATAAGGAGATATACTCGTATTTTATCGCTAAACATCTCTAAGTACTTGCATGTTTGTGTTTTGAATTAGCGAGAAAAACTGAAAATACTCTATATAAAAATACTCTAGTCATTTTCTAAGGAATAGCAAGGCTTTAGGACGAATACCATAAGCACTATATTTTGTGATACCCAAGGCATAATAAGTGTCTATTAAAGAAAAACATTTGTAAAGAAATGAAGTAGGTTTTCTACATACATAGATACATACCATAAATATCATCGTACCTATAGGTTTATCATTTATAGAAATATGCATGTAAGCACATGGTCTCTGGAAATAAATGAACGATTCGATTATTATTTATATTGGACTTATGTTGACTTTAGGTAGTTACAGTACATGTGCAACGATAGAAGAGAAACTTCGAAAGAGCGACGACCTCAAAAATTTTACTGGTAGTGAAGGTACAGGTTATTCAGAATATATATTCTGCATTTTACATGAACTTATTATTATGTTGTTTAATTTTTTGAAGCGCATTAGTATTAGAAATTGTTCGTTAGTTCAAAGAAGACAATGCTCAAGTCTATTTTCAATTGAACGTTATGGTATAATAAGCTTCAATCTTTATAAAATGAATATCGAACCTATACGAGAGCAAAACTTTTCGATTAGGAATAATCACAAAAGTTGGTTCAGAATTTTAAGACATTTCGTATAGGTACTTCTCTTGCTACAAAAAAAAAGTTGTCAAATTGCCAACCTCCTTTTTAAGTGGGTTGAAAAATAGAACATTGTTTAATTTGAAATATGCAATATTTGAATGATGTGATCTATTACTTGTACTCACACCAGATGATTTAATAAATGTGATGAATTGTGTTACGCCTTCTTTGTAATAGTCTAAGGAAAAATGATAAATATATTTCTTTTCAATCAGCTCCTTAAGTTCATTTTCTCCACCAAGAAATTTGTCATTCATAAGCACGGCGACTTGAGATTTCAAACAATATGCTAACCCACCATGCGCAATTTTTAAATCATTCCATACAGTAGGCCATTCCACGCTAGTTACACCTGAGAATTTTAATTGATAGTAGTAATAACTTTACATTTCACATTCTATTGAAGTTAGTATTATGTTATTATATACACTGTTAATTGCTTAATGTCAGGAGGAAAAGGATTGTTAGTAATGGAGACTAAGAATCCCATTGCTAGCAATATACCCAACCAGGTCCACCTCCTCGCGGTTTCCCTTGGAAACTATCATGATTAATTCCTGATGAATTCATCATCATGGACTAACTGGCCTGTTTTCATCCTCATCGATCACCCTTCACTGGTGCCCCGCCAGCGTATCCCATTAGCGCAGGCGGGGTTACCACTCCATTTTCAACCAATAAAAAAAAAATACTTAATATTAAAATTTGAAGATTGATGTATGGCTAGATGTGAATACGAATAGATGTATAGGCATTGGCGTATTTGGAGTTGTCAGTCCCAGAACTGTCTGATAGCTACTTTATGATACGAATGAAAATGAATGAGATTTTTTTTTATGCAACTTAGAATAGCAAATCAGCTGACAGCCTACCTGATAGAAAGTGGTAACCGTCGCCTATCGACATGAATAGCACCATGGATAACAGATTTATATACAAGAAAGACTGAATGTAGTACTAGTAACAAAGAATCTTCTTATCAATATGATAGTATGATCAGTATAACGACATTTCAATGTGAAGATATATTACTATAATGGGTGTCCACTTCAAAGATATTTTTATTTTTATGGCATTTATAGAATATTTCTATAATAATTTTATTCTACAATATTCCATAAGAGCATTATATTATAAAAATGTCTATATCATACATGGTAGGTATGTTACCTCTAATAACAGGGGAATCAAAATGTTTCCATCTATATTTGTGTAATCCTTTTATTAAGTGAACGCAATAATTAAATTCTTTTGTAACTCTGTTCCCAATGATAGTAAATTTGACACAATCTGCATGAGGCATTTTGACTTTCGGTTTTGGATAGTGGGGATTATTTGCCGAGTTGTGAGCATATTTGATTTTATTACAATACACATCTTTCACAAATCTTTCCCACGGATGTTTATTTATATTATTTTCTTTAAGTTTTATTTCTAAATTAAATAAAGACATTATTTGCTAAAAACTGTTGTAGCGGCATTACGTCCACAATATTTTATTTTTATTTTTTTTTTAATACCTATTATATTCGAAATAATGTAAAGAGTTTGTGATCAAATTTAAATTGCATACTAATTTATTAGTTACTGCGTTACTAGAAAACACTGAATGGATTTTAAAAATATTAAGCTAGTTTTTAGTTCAACTGTACCTGTATGTTTTATCAGATTTGGCCGAGCAGGTCAAACATAAGTGTATACATAAATAAGCATAAATCATAATATCACAGACTAAAAATATTAGGTCAATTTATAACTCAGAATAAATTATTATAATATTTAATACTGATCTAATCTTGGGATCTAATTATTTTCTTTGATTTATGGATATTGATGGGTATGGATACGTAATAGTCTAAGCATAATAATTAGTATTCTTTCTCTATAATCTGTAGTTCACGACGTCAAAGAACTATTACTGACATTTGTTGTCAATGTCAACTCAAATATTAAAGTATGACTAACGAAAAAAAAGGCGGGAAACTCGAATAAGAACAAGCGGGTTTTTTAAATTTTTTTTATTAATTTATTAAAACTATCTCTATCAATTCTTATTATTGAATAAAATATTATATTTTCACTAAATTCAGCGACAGTAATATAATTAGCATTCATGGGGAAGCGCAGTTGTAGAAAAAGGAAAAAAAAAGATGACGATTCAGGTGATGTAGACCATGAACCTTGTAATGACAAGGATATATATTCGGAAGATACTTCTACTGACTCAGAATCTGAAATTGATAAGGCCGATAAGTATAAACCTTACTACGTCACAGATTATATTAGAAGATATCCCGAGGAATCCCCTGGGACAGAATTTGTTGTCTTTGTAGAATCCTCAGATAGTCAGAAAACCATTGGATCCAGAGACTTGCTCTCACTCTCCTCCTGTTTAAAACGATTTAATAAAGGGGTAACTTATCTTAGATCTATAAATAAATTCAAAATCGGAGTATACTTTCAAAAGCCAGACTTAGCCAATGCTTTTTTAAATAATAAAACTTTTTTAAATGACTACCATTTTAAGGCCAGTATTCCTGCTTCTTCAACAGAAGTTACAGGCGTTATTAGAAATGTACCTACAAATATATCTAATAAAAAAATATATACTATGATATCGAGTTCTAAGAAAATTATTGCTATTAAAAGAATTTTAAGAAAAAAAACCTTGACTCATGGATATGTGTTACAGCCAACTCTAACCGTGACAATTACTTTTGCTGCATCTGTATTACCTGAATATCTGGATATTGGAGGTTGGCGCCACAATGTCACTCCATATATACCACCAGTTAAACAACTACCGGTGCTTGAGGTATGGACATTTAGCTAAATTCTGTAAGAATTCTGAGCGTTGCAGCATCTGCAAAGGTGAGCATAATTATAAAACTTGTACAACTGGAATGGAAAACGCTATTTGTGTACACTGCAATGGAAATCACACAAGTGTATCACCGCAATGCCCTGTTAAACAAAAGAAAATTGCTGAAAATAGATCTAAATTCAGACCTGCTTCTTTTGGAGATATACTTAGCACTGAAATATTTCCTAAACTGGGTAACAAACCTAAAAAAAATGTAGACCTAATTTCAATTCTAAATTCTGATAACAAGAGTTTATCACTTTTAATAGAAAGCATAATCAAACTTATTTCACTACATAACACAAAGAACACATCTATTAACACTAAAAGTGTTTTGAATGTGTTATATGATACTTTTGGTAATAGACCTATTTCACAAAATTCAATCGAGACCAATTAACTATCATACAGTGGAACGCTCAGAGCCTACTGAGCAATCGACATATTTTTACACAATTTTTAAATGAACATCATATTCACATTGCTCTCATCTCAGAAACTTGGCTAAAACCACATTACAAATTAAAAATTAAAGATTATTGTATAGAACGAAATGATTGTGGTAATAACCACAATGGAGTAGCGATTATTATACATAATAGTATTAGATATAAAAAACTTCACTCTTTTTTCGACAATTCTTTGCAAACTATAGCTATTAGTATTGAAGTTAATAATTCTTGGTATTCAGTTGCCAGTATTTACTGTCCTACCAATAGTACACCTAGTTTTACTAAAGCCAAATTTAAGTTCTTTTTGGAGTCTCTTCCTAAACCCACTATCATATCTGGAGATTTAAATGCACATCATACTATGTGGGGTTGTACCTCCACTAATACAAGAGGTAAAGACATTCTTGATTGTTTAGATGAATGTAATTTGGTACTATTAAATGATAAGCAAGTTACTACTGTTGGCTCTCATATTTGGAGACCCAATGGCCTTGATTTAACTATGGTATCCCCATCCATATCATTAAAATGCGAGTGGTCGGTTCATGATGATCCGTTAGGAAGTTATCACCTGCCGACTTTTACTAAAATAAACACAAAGAACTCTTCATCAACTCCGTCAGGTGAACAACATGCTCCTATAGATGAAGTTAATAAACTTTTGTTAAATCGTATAAACCTACGTCTCGTTAATTGGGATCTTTATTCTGAAACTGTTAATCGATTACTTTTGGATTTCGAGTATGATGTCAATGAACCCTTAAACAATTACAATAGGTTCTGTAAAATTATTTTGACAGCTGTGGAACGTTCCGTTCCACGTAGGAACTTATCAAATAGCGGTGCAAATACTTCAAAGAGGCACAAACATATTGCAGTACCTTGGTGGAATAACAGGTGTGCGACAGCTGTCAATGATAGTAAAGCGGCTTACCTTAGGTTTAAACAAAATCCAACTCTCGATAATTACATAAATTTTAAAAGAGTTCAAGCTGTTAAAAAGTTAGTAATTAAGCAAGTAAGACAACAGGGGTGGCAGGAATTTTGTTCCAAATTTAATAGATTAACACCAATTTCCACTGTTTGGCAAAATATGAGAAAACTAAATTCAAAACATCGTCAAAATCATTTTAAAGATATATCATGGGTCAATGATTTTTTACGCAAATATACTCCTGATTTTGTACACTCACCTTTTGATGACAAACAGTTTAATTCTGTTAATTCATGCCCAAAATTTCTCACTGACCCATTCTCAATTGATAAAATATCCAGTGCAGTAAAATCTAGAAAAGATACAGCTAGTGGCCTTGATCGCTTAACATACAATATGTTTCGATTGCTGAATAAAATAAACCTTACTAAACTCTTACAAATTTTTAACGATTTATGGAAGGACTGTATTATCCCACCAGAATGGAAAATGGATTGTTTGATTCCAGTAATTAAACCCGGTAAAGATCCTACAAATTTCGACTCCTATAGACCTATAACATTGACGTCCTGTGCAGGCAAATTATTCGAACAATTAATTAAACAGCGTTTAGAGTTCTTTATTGAAAGTAATAGTATATTACCATCGAATCAATTTGGTTTTCGCCGTGGATATTCAGCGCGCGAAAGTTTAGCGAACTTCTATGTCGACCTTAGTACTGCTTTGAATAACGATGAATATGTTCTATCTGTTTTTTTAGATGTCGTAGGAGCTTTTAACAATGTAAATTTAACAGTTCTATCTTCGATTTTATCCTCATTTCTTCCAATGAAACTTATCGAATGGATTTATAATTTTCTTAGTAATAGAGAAGTGTATGTTAAAGTAAATAGTAAATTAATAGGACCTAGGTTAAGCTCTAAAGGAGTATGTCAAGGTGGTATTCTAAGCCCGCTACTATATATTTTATATATCTATAAACTTAATTCAATTTTAGGAAACAGTGTGAACAACTTGCAATTTGCCGATGATTTATTAATTTATATAAAAGGAAAGAATATTATTGATATGCAATTAGTGTTAAATGAGTCATTAAAAAGACTTGAGAAATATTTTTCTCTTCTTTCCCTCGATATTAGTTTAACCAAAAGTAAAGTAGTTGTTTTTCATCAAGTTCATAAATATGTTCCATTAATGAATATTATATATAATAACCAAACTCTTCCAACAGACTGTAGCGTTAAATTTCTGGGGGTAATTTTTCATCAAAATTTAAAATGGGATCTATACGTTGATTGCTTAGTAGATCGTGCTTTAAGAGCCACTAATATAATAAGATCTGTAATTGGTCGTAACTGGGGAGCTGATCCTAAAATTATCCTTTTACTTTACAAATCTCTTGTTAGAAGTAATTTTGATTACGCTTTCTTTTGTTATGCCTCAGAACATAAATTAGTAGAAAAACTCGAAAAAATTCAAAATATGAATTTAAGACTTATTTTAGGTGCTATGTATACTTCTCCAATTATCTCAATGCAAGTAGAATGTAATTTGCCTCCTATTCTTCTTCGTTTCGAATACCTAAAACTCAAATTTCTCTTCAAAGTTTTTTCAGTTTCCAATAACCCACTCATACTCAAATTATTAAATTGCCCCATTTCTATGTTTTTGAATAAAACTATTGTCAATGATTTGAATTTACGAGATGAATATAACATCTATAGTAGTAAGATACTTCCTTGTTATAATGGCCTTTATGAGAGTAAGTTCTGTAAGATCAAAATTGTTATACGTAAAGACATAAAAGAAAAGCACGATATGTATGAGACTTTATCAGAATTTATTGACTACAGGCAGATATATACAGATGGTTCCAAAAATGCACTTAGCACTTCAGTGGCTTTTTACGATTTGTCAAATAGATTTGGTCACGGTTATAAAATTTCAACTTTGGCTAGTATTTACACAGCAGAAGCAAAAGCTATATTTTTAGCATTAGAATACATAGAAAAACAGGTACTATATTCGAAATGGATTATAATTACAGATAGTATGAGTGTTCTTATGGCATTAAAAAATAACACATTCATTTCATCATCAAACTACTTAATTCAAGAAATTCGTAATAAATATTATCATCTCTGTACTATATATGGAAAAGATATTATCTTCATCTGGACCCCTTCACATATTGGAGTGTTTGGGAATGAACAAGTAGACACTTTGGCTAAAATTATTAATTCAAGTGCTGCTCGTGTTCAAGATTTACCCCTTTGTTACTCAGATTGTAGTATTGGAATACATAAAATCGTTACAACTAAATGGGAGGAGCATTGGACTCAAATATTACAGACTAAAGGCAAATGGTACCGCAAAATTAATTGGCGTATTGGAAAACCGTGGTTCTGCAAAGGAAAGGACACAAACAGAAAATTTTACTCCAATATTTGTAGATTACGAATCGGCCACGGACATTTCAACGAACACCTGCACCGAATGGGCATGATCGCTTTCCCATCATGCACATGGTGTAACTCAAATACAGCCCAATCTCTACATCACCTTTTTTTTGATTGCTCTGAATTTTCCATTCAAAGACACATTATGTTTGACGAACTTAGGATTATCTTCAAAAAACCCGAAAATATCCCGCACTCAATCCCGCTTCTCTTAAGATTTCCTTCTTGTTTCAAAGCTATTTTCACTTATATTACTACAACATTCAAGGAGCTATAAGAATACTTTTATTGAATTGCAAGACAATGATTTTTTATAATTATTTATTTTTAATTTGATAAATCCACTGGTTTAAGAAAACTCAAGAAAAGATATTTATGAAAATGTACTTACCGGATTTGACAAATGAAATATTGAAGATTATGACAATAATTGAAGCGACATTAGAAAAATAAAATTCCAGACAAATTATCTTTTTGAAGACTAGGCAGCATGGTCTCCGACCTTAGCCTGTTCCAAACGGAACAAACGTACTAAAAAAAAAAAGAAAGTATGACTAACCTAATAAAAACATTTATCTACTTATAACTATTCAAAAGTGTGTTTTAAATTATTGCAATATATGTATTAGTTATTAAATAAAGTAGTTATTAAAAATAATATTATAAAATATTTACCATGAAATAATACAACAAATTACTTATTAACTTAATACCGTTTTAAATATTCTTGTAAAATGGATCCAAATTTACCTCAAAAATTTTCAATAATTTGTGGAGATTTGTGTAATCTTTTATATGCAAAAGATTATGATAAAGCTACCGTAAATTCTCTAATCGACGAGCTTAATTCTAAGCCCTACAAGGCGCAGTTATTTGTTCGTAAACATGTAAGTGCACCTCTTTTTATTTTGTTTATAAATAAATTTTTACAAATTATTTATTAAGAATAATGTAATATAATATTGAGAATTATCAGTTGAGAATTTCAATAGGCATTAGATAAATTGCTAAATTTTATTCCAATACTTTTTATTATGAATTAATTAAATTTTTTAATGATTTCAGGATGCGGAAATGTTAGTAACAGCATTATGCCTCAGTATAAAGCCAATAGATGAGTATTTAGCAGCAAAAACATCACATTTAATAAACAGTGTAGTGACTAAACAAAGTTTACAGTTTGGCAGTGATTATTTGTGGAAAGTAATATCTTGGCATATTAATTGTATAAAAAAATGTTCTGATATTATTTTGCCTGATATTCTTCATAATATGCAATGTATTTTACAATTAAATCCACATGCAGGTCAAAAGGTAACTTTAAAATAATTTTTACTTATAATTTTAGTTGTATTACTAGTACCTGTAACTGGTAACTTTTTCTATCTCAAATATTAAGCACATACCAAGTTTTATGACCATTAGTTGAATCATTAAGGCACCTAGATTTAGAAAAAAATATAGGTAAAATTTTGTTTTTGGATGAGTGAAAATGGAATGGTAGTCTCACTTGATAGGGTATGTTGGCTATATGTAGGCCAGCATTGGACTTCATTACTTTAAAACCCTTTTCCGCTACTAAAAGTTAGTAGCAATCATAAAAAATAAAGTTTAAATTTGATCAGTCTTTGTTATAGTAGTATAAATTAATTGTTAAAACAAGGCAAATAAAAAAACCTAACTTTTAATTTACAATACAATATAGTGTTTCATACCTAACACACTAATGTTTGTAATTTATTTGGAAAATCTTGTATGTATTTATGAAAATTATGTCTAAACATTTTTATTATTATTTATTTTCTGTTACAGTTTATAGAAGATTTAATAGGTCTTGATGGAGTGTTGAGTAATTTAATAAATATTGATAAAAGTCCTATATCAAGCACTCAAAATCCACTACCAATCTGCCTTCTTGCTTTCAAATGTATGTCTTGTGTTATTACAACAGAAGATGGTAAAACAGATCAAACAAATTTAGTACCTTTAGATGTAAAGGAATGGATCTCACAACTTGTTATAAAGTTTTTAATGAAATACTCTATTAAGTTACAGGATGAATTTTTATATTGCAAAGTAAGTTTTTTTACATACATACATATTTACATATATACACATATTACATATATAAATAGGTATTTTATTTATTTTTAGCAATTTCTTTAGAATTCTTTATTAAATCATGTTTTTGTTTTGTTTATAAATATTTGTTTTTCTCTTGCAAGGTTAAGGGATCTAGAATTTGCTTTGTGATTCTATTTAAGTGACTCATAAGTGGAACAACATCTTAGTGAATGTGTATAAAATTTTAAATAAGTAATTATTAACTTTTTAGGTAATAATATCAGCCTTAAGATTATTATCACAATTGTATTTCAATGAACAAAAAATAACGATTCCATTACCTGAAGTAATGGGAATATGCCGTCATTTTGTGTTATATGGCCTCATAAACCAAGGGCCAACACCTGAGAGGTTGATGCCAGCACAGCAAACTATAGCAACTATACCACTGAAAGTAATTCCTAAAGGAGGAAAGGTTAGTAAGTAATTTGTTTTATAAGTAACTAGGTAAATGATGTCTGCACAAAAAGAGCAATGGGAGCCAAAATAATGTCTTCTAGAATTTTTGTATATGTCTGTCTGTATGTTTGTTCCAGTGTCATGTAACTACACTACTGTACCAAATTGAATGTGAATTTCACAGTTTCATATCTATGTTTTGTCTTAATATGCCATCTAGAAGTAAGTTTACTCTTATGTGACAAAACAATATATTAACTTTGTGATTTCCGAAATCCACATATGAAATTGCTGGTAAAAGCTAGTACATGAGGAATTTTAATAAGATCAGTTTTGAAGTGAGTACAAGAAGTTGTCAAGTAAACAAATTTTTTAACAATTCTTATTACAGAAACAAAAGATAAGAAAACAAAGAAATAATGCTATTGAAAGTTTAAAGAAGGAGATACCAGTATCTGACAAAAGTTTAATGAAAGATGTTGATAACTTTGAAAATCATTCTGCTTATAAACCAGCGAGTATGAATTACTTCGAACCTCAAAAAACTAAGAATACTTGGGTCTTAACAAGTGACTCTGATATGTCAGATGTTGAAAACAGTAGGGAAGCAAAACTTATAGCTTTAAAATCTAGAGTGAGGCAGAGTGCTTCAAACTTGCTATTAGTTTTAATAAAGGTAATTTATATGAAATATCTCAACTTTAATAACAATTTCATATTTTCAAACATTGGAAGCTTTTCTATATGTAACTTGCAATTTTTTCTTTATTACATTTCCTTAGAGTCATTAGAAAATCAAATTGTACATATCATGATAGATTATCAGTATTTTATTTCTAATAGCTCTCATAACAAACTTCATTATGTTAGGACAACTTAAAATATCAATTTCATGCTTTTATAATATCATACATTCATTTTGTATACTGATCACAAGTCTGCCTTATAGACTTCTTAAACCTATAATATGCAATGTACGTACAAATGTTTAATTATATAGGATTGCGATTGTAATTGTTTATCATCACAGGTTGTTATCATCTGATATTTGCGATTTTCAGATAGCAGAAAAAAGAGATATATTTGGCTACTGGTGGGCACTCTTACCAGATTCACCTGATGCCATTAACTGGTCTAGTGAAGAATCAGCTAAGAAAACTCTGGCATACTGTGCTGTCATAGATCCTATAGCAAATAGTAGGGCCAGTGTACTGAGCGTTATATTGGCTCTTTTATCCGGTTCTAGAATGTATTTGTCACAGGCTGAAACAAGGTAAGCAATTTAAAATCTTTAGTTCTGGATGTATTATCACATAGTGTCATCTAGTTCCAAACTAAGCGACACTTGTACTGATAGATATTTTTGCATCATAAAATTACATCACTTAAAGGTTAAAGTATAATTTTTTACATTCCAGCAAAAAAGATAATACTTCCTTTATACCCTTTTCCATATCTCTTGGGTATGTTATTACATGCATGCACCAAGTGCTAGTCAGTATATTGGATAGTGAGAGAAGCCATGCGGTCATAATAGTTGCATTAAAGTGCTGTGCCGCTTTAGTACAAGCAACAGCCTATCATAAGATGAGGGAAGGACTTATTAGTGATTTAGTTAGGTCTACCAAGAAGTTTCTGGTTCATAGAGGTAAGAATAGATTGACAATATTTTTAATTCAAATTAAAATAATTTTAATTAAATCAAATTTCATATGAAATAAAACAATTTGTAACCAACAAAAAAGGTTTTTTGTTGATTTAACCAAATTTCATATTTCATTTTCTTTTACCATTTGTGAAAGTGATCAGATTTTTTTTTTAATATTTCTATTTGCAATTAGCCTTTTTTTATTATTTTAGATCTGCTGTGTTAATATCTGACATTAATAATTACTTTTTTAGTCTATAAAGTGTTTATTTTTAGATCGATCTCGCATTATATTTTATCCAATAGAAGTCCTTTTTGTAAAAAAGGTTTTTATTTTACAGTAATAATTATCCTTAACTTTCAGATGTAACATTACAAGTTGGCGCATTAATAACAATTGGATGCATTTTATCAGTAGATCCAAAAGTTGATGAAATTCGAAAGTCTATACAAAAGGATACAATAGATTGTGTAAATAATTCAAATATATTAGATAAAGAATATAATGTAGATAGAGAAGGATGTGATGATTTTGAGGAGGGTTACTCAGATGATGATGAGCTTATTGATAGTGATCTCAAGTTTATTCCAAAATGTGATAAAGGAAGTGATTTAGAGAATGTTTCTTCTAATTGTTGGATATTGGATATATGTTTTAAGAATATGGGGTGGATATTTAGAGAAAATCAAGTGATAGTAAGTTATTTCTAATTGGATTTTTGTATTAGAATTGAATGGTTACAGTTTTGATAAATTTTCACAGATATGTACTTAGAATATAAAATATACATACATATAATATAAGACAGAGTGCATTCGTTCTTTAATCTTTTGGCCTACCCATAAAGATATTTATACCTACATTAATAGATATTTTTTATTCATTTATATATACGTTTTCTTGACTATATATGTATATAAATTTTTTTACAGAGATGTAAACCGTCCGCGATACCGATAATACTGGAATCTCTGCAAGTGCTTTCAGCTATTGCCTTTCACCATATGTCGGAGCTGCTACTGCCGCATCTTTCCTTGCTATCTGACATCCTATGTGAGATGTTGCAGCACGATCACCAAGATGTTGTGCTGCAGGCTGCCAGAACTGCTAGCATCATTGGAGATGCTATTCAAAAATTAGGTACGATAATTGAATTTTCTTACAACCTGACCAATCCTGCCACCTTAAAAATCAAATCAAATAAGACTGTAAAACCAGATGGGATAGTGAGGAGCTATTTGACAAGTTTTATTGTTGTAGCGAATATTTTTTTTATAATATATATAGAATAACAACAAGCTATTGAGATTTGGTTACAATTGCTTGTCAATAATTTTCATCGTAAATCGTTAATATGTCATGATTTATATTTCAGAACGTATGGATCAACCTCCGCCATTGAACCAGTGTGTAAGCTTTTGGGAGAAACTCCTTACGCCGCTGTCGTTGGTATTGCAAAGTCACGAGAATGGTCCGGCGAAGGCGGTTGTTTGTGACTGCATTGCTAACATAGGAGAGAGATCGTTCAAGGAATTGCCTGTAAGTTTTTGTTTTTCATTTTTACTTTTTTTAAATGAAACATTATGGAAACATTTTCGGTGTTTAGTTTAGTCTTTTTATTTAGCAACTTAGAATGGCAAACAACCTGATGGCCCACCTGATGGATAGTGGTGACTGTCGCCTATAGAAATGAGCAGTGACATGGACATAACAGAGTATACTGTTTCGCCCAAGATACCCCCATGCGTTGCTATTCCTGCGGACTCAGATGTTACTCCTCTGTACCCTGTTAATTCATTTCAAACCGAAACACAGCTATGTAAACACAATTGTTTCACTCCAAGCAAACGGCTTTTGTACAAAGTCTCCCTCTAATATTTAAATGAATAATATATTATTATATTACCAGGAACTTTAATGGCTATGAAGTATTATAATTCACGCGGCAAGTAATATGATAATTGACTATAAAATCCATCTTTATGCCAAAATTCATTGAAATCTATTCAGCTATTAAAGCGCATATGAGTAACAAACGTCTTTACAAATTTTAACAATTATATAATTGTTAAAATTTTGTAAAAGTTAATACTATTATACGGACAGAAAGTTAGTATTATTATATAATAATACTAACTTTCTGTCCGCTACTTCGTACGCATGGAAATAGGAAACCCCCATTCGCCCATGATACCCCCCATGTGTTGCCATTCCTGAGGACTCAGGTGTTATTCCTCTGTACCCGAAAATTCACGCCATACCGTGCCCTTCAAATTCATTCATGCCCTTCAAACCGAAACACAGCCATGCAAACACAACTGCTTCACGGTTGAAATACAAATGGGACAGAGGTACCCAAGCAATCGACTTTTGTACAAAGTCTCCCTCTGGTATTAGACCTTTAGGAACACACAAGTCGCATCCAATTTGTGCAGTAGTTTTTGCGTGATGCTTTAACAGACATACAGAGAGACAGACAAAATTTCTAATAAAAATTGGTCCTATAATGCTTTCCTAAATTTTTTAAGATAACGAAACCCCCAACAAATACCTTTTTTTTATGAAACCCCGTATCAAATGATTACAAATCAAAGACACTGTAATTTAAATAAGACCAAAAGCTTTTATTAAAAATATTCTAAAAATATAACACTTCATAGATTCTTTTTAATTTTTAATGTGAAGAATGAAATTATTTCATTATGTAAAGAATTTCGCGGAACCCTGGTGCCTCTTACGGAACCCCTAGGTTTCTCGGAACCCACTTTAGGATTCGCTGTTATAATTAACCCTCATATACATTTTCTTAAATACTTCCCATGTTACAAACACCGTGTACTTACAAATATATTACTAAGATTAGTATGATAAATAAGTATCTATGCATAGTATCAAGTGTAGATGATTAATATTATGGATGTACCTACAGAGCCGCAAGCAGATGGTATGCTGTACTCTGCTGGTTGGTTCCTGCGGGGACGAGGAGGCCACAGTAAGGGCGGCCGCCGTACGCGCCCTCGCCATGACCGTCGTCTACCGCACGCTAAGAGAGGTAAGTGCATTTACATTATATGCTCTTAAACGTTATACTATTATACTAGTATTCGAGCCAGTATGGCGGCTTTTGACATTAAGATAAAAGAAAATACCTTTATTTAAATTCCTTCATTACATAAGATGTAAAATAGAAATTATTGATATTTTTAAAGGAATTTTCTGTCAGTGAACCGGAACATTTTTTTACAAAGGAAGAGGTATCGAGAAGTGAAAAAAAAAAAAATTAAAGATACCGTATTAACTCGATAGTTGAACATGCCAAATATTGATTATATGGGTCTCCTAAACAGACAAGATTGCATAGATGGAGTTGAAAAGAAACTAGGTGTATTAGTTTTAAAAGTGAAAAGGTTCTCGATTCACATATTATGTTAATAATTTTCAAATTTTAAATTCAAATTATTTTTATTCATAGACAGAGTTTACAAGCACTTTTAAATCGTCATTATTTTTTTAAATCTACTGCAGGGTTCTAGAAAGTTGTTATTTATTGAGAAGAGCACGCAAAAAACTCAACGGTTACTTTTTTAAATTTTTGTTAACATATGTAATATATTATAAGTTTACATATATTTAAATGTACTATGTTTAAAATTACTTGGTCAATAAAAAGCCAGTACTTGATCGAATAATACTATGCATGTTTGTCATTCAAGTAATCGTTTAGTATGTAATAAGCTTTGTTTATTTAAAGTAACAAATACATGTGATCATGATTATAATCACGAATGAGGTACTTAGGCACACGATACACTCATTTTGCCGATCAATGTATAAAAAGACTTATTGGCCCGTATATAAGACAATTTAATGATATCCAATAATAGTTACAAATAAAAAGTCGATTATTTGATTGAATATATCGTTTTGTTACTAATTTCATTAAAGAACGTTTCTGTGATACTTTCATCCAAACTTGGTTGACCGTTTCATTTGTCTCTTAAACAGACAGACAGATTCTATAAATCATAAGTGATATAAGGGTAAGCATACCAATGCCACTCGGATTAATTCGATTAGTTATCGGTATTATTCATCACTGGAGATTTAATCAGAATTTGCATTGAGATTTTGGTGTTTTGAGATTTATAAGTCGGGGTAGTTTTCTTTTTTTTAATGGATGATAATTGAATGGAAGGTCCGCCTGCGCTAACAGTATACGTTGGCGGGGCACCAGTGAATGATAATAGGTGAGAATGAAAAGGCCATTTATACTAATCCATCACCATGTATAAAAGTATTTGTATTTGTGCATCGTTATGAATACACTTGGAATTCATCACGATGGTTTCCAGAGAAGGCCACGTGGAGGTCGACCTGAAAGGTTATATTGCTATTAATGAGACTGGTAGTCCGCATTACTAACAATCCCTTCCCAATGGGAGTAGTATACCGCTGGGATACGGTGCTCTGATTGACCAGATTAGATTGTTAATAAAACCTGTTTAAAATATTTTCATTTGTTTAAGGATATCTGCTTCGTGAGCGATTGTGGGGAGAATATTGTACGGGCCCTGGCGGAACCAACGCTAGTGGTGCGAACAAAGGCTGCCTGGGCCCTTGGAAACCTTAGCGATGCGCTCGTTTTGAATATGTAAGTCACGAGAGTCTCCAATATGGTAAATTAAACATTTTGGCCATCCCCTACTAGATGGAGTCATTGAATGAAGATGGCTTAGGACCGTGCCTTATGGCAGTCTGTGGGGGAGGCCTATGTTCAACAGTAGACAGATATTGACTGAGATGATGATAATGAAACATTTTAGCTAAGGTGATGATGAAACGTATTCTGATTCTCAAAAATGGCGAAAAACTGGTGGGCTAAAATATTACTTGACGAATTTACAGAATTTTTATTATTAAGTAAATTATAAAATTATAATTAGGTATATATATAGTAGCTTAATTAGCGTTATCTTCTATTTTCCCAACACGTTATAATTTGTTTGCCATATTTGTGCTGTTAAAAACGATTATTAGTGACTATACTTATATCATTGATACATAATAAAATCTATTTTTGGAGATCAATAAGACACACGTTTTATATTTTTACGTTATTTCTAGTCGTAATTTATTGAACTATTATCAGAACACGCGCCAAAATGTAGCAAACGTTTTTCCTTGACCTCGAATAATATTATGACAAATACAATTTGTACGTAATAATACGAAAGCATACTTGTTCAGATCAAACAATGAGGTCATCTCGTCCGAGCTGTTTGTGTGGCGCCGAAATAGAATTGCTAATAGGTACATATAAAAGAACGCAGTAGAATATTGTCAACATGTTAGGTAACCTTATGAATTGGCAAGCGCGACTCATACCAGTACGGTACTTTTTGTAAGCATATTTATATTGGCATATAAACGCCCACCTGACGAAAAGTGGCAGTTGTCACCCATAGACATAAATAGTACCATTGACATTATAGAGTATTCGGTAATGCTTATAGAATCATAATTTAGAAGGCCGGCAATGCACAAGCACATCCTCTCGTGTTGCATGTGTTCATGTGTGAATGTAGCCGCTTTCAATCAGATGGATCATTTACTTGTTTGCCTCTTTAATAATAAAAAAATTTCTACGGTGTATACTACGGTTTTACTACTACTATATAGGATTATGGTATTATACCTTCGTGTCCTGTAATTTCACTGCTATATCCCACTCTTTAAATCGAAACACAGCTATGCAACTAAAGCAGAATTGGGGTGCTTATGCAAACGAAATTTGTACAGTTTGTATTAATATCTTTACATATGTTTATTGTTCAACCATAATGAAATAGCGCTTTATTTTTTACCGTTAGAACAGAATCTGGCACTTTTTTCAATATATCAGGGGGTTTACCATGAAATGAATTTCCGAATTTTCGGGCTCAACCTCTTGTTTTCGTTCAAACCGAAATAGGCCCAATAAATGGAGCTTAACATTTCATTCGTCATAAATCCTACCATAAAAATTTAAAGAAACGATATTTTAACACTTTTAATATTTTTAAATGGTATATATTAGATATAGTATATAGTATATATTAAATATGTAATTTTAACATCAAATTTTTGTTTCGTTCGGCCCCGAAATTTCAGAAAACATTTCGTGCTAGATCCTCTGGTTTTTGTTTCGTCTTTTTTATACGGTTTTAATTTGACGGCATGGCTATAAATGTATTGTTTATTATTTCTAGCACTTTTTTTTTTATCCAAAACTCAATTTTGTTTATATGTGTTATGACCCTCTATAGACTATGACCTGCGGTCGTTGAACTGCTCAAGTAATAAAATAAAACGAGTAAAATAGAGTAATGATTAATACGTAGAAAACAGTTTAATATTAATTCTAAATGACACCAAATGACACTTAATTTGTTAAAAGGGGGAAAAAACACTAAACGCTTTTGCAAATGCTTTTATTCTTATAATGTTTATTAACAGGGAAGAGCCAGAGGTCGATGATATTGACGATGATTTGTTACGTCGGCTTCTAGAGGTCAGCATTCAATGTGCCACCGATAATGATAAGGTACGAGGTTTGATGTGTTTTATCATTTCTCCCGACAAATTTAATGTAAACAACTCGTATAGGTGAGTACATATCTATACAAATGGTTGACGTTACAAGATAGCTTTTTTCCTGCACGGGGTTGTCATTCTTTGGATTGTAACGGTTATTTTTTTCGAACAATAAAATATTTTTTTACAAAAAAAAGAAACGGTAATTTCGGTGAATGGGATCCACATCTCATTTCCATGGAAAATATAAAAATGTACTGATAATGTCGCGTAGTGCGTTAGTTCTAAATACATGTGAATAGTTTCCTTAATATTGGCAAAAATTGTTCAATACAGAATTCAAATCTTTCGTCTTTTTTATTTACTGGCGTTTACCTGCGACTTCGTTTGCATGACTACGATATGTTTATTGATATTGATTTACTTGATTTTCTTCATCCCATATGTATACCAAATTTCATAGTGTATGATTCAGCCTTTAAGGGGCTAAAATGTAATAAATCTCATTTTTACATTGATAATATACGTAATGTTGTAAATGTGAAAGTGAGTTTATTTGTGTGATAGGACTTATCCTATCACAATTCTAATATAAAGAGTAATTATTTATTGTTGGCAACCCTAGTAATATCCGGGTGTGATGGGGAAACCGTCCCGCTTCTCTATACCTATTCACGTTATTGATACAATGGGGCGCGCACGTGTTTGCTTATTATTAATATAATGGCCATTACTTTATGATTTAGTGGGCAAAGTACAGAATAATTATCTTTATTGCCTTTTGACATTTTACCAATTACTGCGAAACTATCGATAAAGTCAATATTTATGTATGTATGTATAGTACTTATTTTACTTACCTTAATGACCTGTACCCAGCAACGGCTTCCTAAAGAGGAAGATTTTTGCATAACATGAAATTGAAAAAGTAACCCCGTCTGCGTTATCAGTAGGCTCTGGCGGGGCACCAGTGAATAGCTGAGGATGAAAGTAGGTCAGTTGCTTCATCCTGACGAATTCACCATTGAGAATTAACTAAAGTAGGTTCACGTGAAGGGCGACTTGAGAGAATATTTTTATAATGGGTGAAAATGAAATGGTAATCCCGCGATTGCTGTCGATATCGCTGGAAAGGCACTAGTAACAGATCAGAATAAAAGCAGATGAGTTGGCCCATCGTGATGAATTCAACAAGAATTAACCACGATGGTTTCTAGAGAGAAGCGCATGGAGGTTGACTTAATAGTGTATATTACTAGCAATGGTACTATTTGAATCCATTATTAACGATCTTGTTTCCTATGACAGAATGTATTAGAGCCTCTAGACCTATTGATAATAGTTCCCTTAATATATGTTATATATAAAAATCTCGTGTCACTATTCTGCGATTGGGCTCGACCGATTTTTATGTTGTTTGTTTGTATTTTTATATATGTTAGATAAGTAGAGAATAAGTGGTAAAGTATATTTCGTGTCGCTAGGTGATTAGAGTGTCCCTATCCAGAAAAAATATTTATGTAGTTATATATATATATATATATATATATATATATATATATATATATATATATATATATATATATATATATATATATATATATATATATATATATATATAAACTTAGTATTGCCATGTTGATCAGGTGGATTGTTGTAGGGTTTCTTTAGTATTGTTAAGCTATCATTTATTACTTCCTACATATTACATGATGTAAAGCTATTACGACAATAATTTTAATATTTAAATGTTTATATATATGTATATTTTCTTTTTCAGATTAAAATGAGTGCTACGCGCGGTCTTGGGAATTTTCTACGGTTGATAAATAATGAGCACTTGGTCCGTAGTCCGCAAATTAAAACCTTATGCGAGACAGCGTTAGAGAGGCTTTTGCATTGCGCATGTAAAGTGAGCAATATGAAAGTACGATGGAACGCGTGCTACGCGATGGGCAACGCTATGAAGAATGAACATCTCTTCACATGCTTCAATGGCTGGCAGGTACATATTCTATAAAAAATGTCTTTGGAACCTGTTATATGTATATAGACCCTGAACTATCATTGAAAGTGTCAAATGCATTTTTTCTTTCGCAATCAAAGATATCATACAAATACATATCGTTCCGCATAAACTACGACTTCAGTCGTGACTCTGCCGTTAAACGATGAAATTAGGCGAATAAAGCCGAAAGACACTACTCTCATCTATACGTCCTTTTACTTTAATGACGTGTTTTAAGTAAATATTTTTTATAATTAAATGCACAAATTAAAGTGATAATATCCTAAATCCCACTTAATGCAAACATTTGATACTGGCGCTTGTTTAAACAATATAATATTTCGTCAGATTAGAATACTTTATGACATGGAAATAAAGAGATATTTATTGTAAACATTAAAAAATTTTTATCTATTTGAATAAAATTTTGTTAGATTTACAAAATACATATGAAGATTAAATTCATTATTATCTATCTTATGCTCAATTTAAGTAAAGATTTACTTTATACATTAAACCTCAAACGTCTAAATAATCTAGTTTAACTAATAATTTTTATCCTTTTCTTTCGAGAAAAAGAAGAAAGAGACAGAATATTGTAATAATTAAAATAAGCTTATAGGAGATTATACGAATAATATTTTATGACATTAGGATAGTTTTTTTGGATAAGGTGGTATAAGATTATCAGTTAATAATATAATAATATATCTGACTATATATATACATATGATTAAACTGTTATTAGATCGTGCCTGATGTATAAAGTAATACGTAAAAACTGGACAGTTTCTGATAAGATCAGTATGATGATAACTAAGTACTTGTGTAAAAATATAGTATGTACAGTATATTCAAGTAAAATATCTCCATGCGCATGAAATATATATATAGAATATCCATTTACAGATGTTTAACCGTTTGTTTGTGGTTTAATCCTCTCATTATCCCTTGTTATTGCTGTTGTTATTTCCGTTGTTATACCTTGACCAGACACAAGTTTAATTATCCCTTTCCATCCTAGAAGAGAACTTAGCAACAGGGTCGCCCATTATAGCCTCTTTATCTTGTTTTTCGACTGACTTCAATAAGAAGGAGGTTTCCAGGTCTGTTGTATTTTTTTAAAGTTTGTTACCTCATACTCCGTCAGTTGTAAACGGATTTAGAAAATTCTTTTTTTATCTAAAGGAATAAGCTTACAGATTGTCATGGGAATTTTATCAAAATCGTTTCAGCCCTTTAGTTCTTAAATCAAAATAACTGGTTTTGCCATAATTGAAGTCGATTTTATTTTGTGGAACACAGTTTAATTATTTGTAATACTGATTTATTTTGTTCTTGTGTGCATATTTTGTGAAATCTTATATTTCTTTTAGAGAAGCAATAATTTGCATTTATGTATTTCATACTCATATATTCAGCGTCAAGTATTTTCGAGCTTATGCAGCCTGGCCCAAGAGTGCAAGAATCTAAAAGTACGTATTAACGCGGCGCTAGCATTACGGGCGCCAACCTCTCGCGTGCAATACGGACAACAATTCGCGGCCGTATGGAGCGCTGTCATGGCTGCCATGGATAGTGCAGCTAATGTCGACGACTTCACTGAATACCAGCATAAGGATAACCTCATCGAACAGGTAAATATAGTGTGGTACAGATAGGGTTGACAGACAAAATTTTATTTTAGGATTTGTTTCTGTCTTTGCTATATATAAGGCAAAAGTTTTCTTGGAAAGGGGTTACAAAATGACTCTTAGTATAAGTACCTTAAAAGGCTTATTTTTTGTATTCTCATAGCTACGGTAACAACCAATATTTAGAAAGAGGGAGAAAGAGAGAACATTTATTAAACACAAAATTGTAATTAAACATTTTTTCTTTGAAAGAAAAAAAAAGAAATTAGTTTCACTGGTAGAATATTCTTTTAAAAGAATGCAATTGAAATTTATTTTGTAATTTTCTAGCTTCCATCCTCGTATCCAATCCATCGGACAATTACATTCATATAAGTATTATCTTATTTTCAGTTATGTGTCACTCTGGCGCACATGTGCTGTCTTCTCACGAAGTCTGATCTTACAGAGATCTTGGACCCTCTAGTGTTTCATCACGAATGTGCTAAAACTCTTTATACTCAGCTGTGTCATAAACTTCCGCCAGAAAATGCATCCTGCCTCAAGATACTGCAAGCTGCTAAATATGTGACAGTTGATTTGACAGCGAACTGTAATACACAACAGCAGTCACTGGGAATGTTACAGGATATTTTCATATGGGACATGTAAACGTAGTAAATATTTTAATTAGTTTTATTATAAATGTTTATTGTAATTGTAAATGTTATAAATGTATTATAAATTTTTTCCAGTTTAAATAAATATTATGGCAAGTAAAGATATCAAATAGTCCTGGGAATATCACACAGCGTCATCTAGTCCCGATCTAAGCATAACTATTATTATACGTCATAAAAAATTATGTACATAGTGCATAATGCATATTTATCACATAATATATGCTGAACGTGTCCAATTTATTAAAAAAATTGTAATTAGAAAATTTTCGATTTTGTGATTTGTAGTGTATGACATTTTTTTAAACGGAAAATTTTATTTAATGGATTTTTATTATAATTGTGTATATAAATGATCTGATTACTCAGAGTAGATAATGAAATTTGTTAACTGTTTAAATGTATGGACAGTGTTTTGAAATATATAGTAAGTATTTTTTTAATTATAAATTTAATATAAGATTGTTATTTACAATACTCTCTTCGTAAGGGCCTTATAGCAGTTTTAGAGTGAAAGGTCCAAATTAGGTTACACTTCCTTTCTGTAGATTTATACCCTTAAATGCACTTGTTATTTATGTATGAGTAACAGATACGATAGATCCAAATTGATTTGTTAAAAACCTGTTTTGTAATTTTAGAGACTGCTAACTGATAATATACAATGGTTTTCTAATATTGACATTGCATAGAAAAATATCACTTAAATACTCCTTCGTTTCTATGTTTTTATGTTCACTCAGTTGTAATGAGTCCAAATTTTCCTAGATGAGGGGCTAACAAATCGGTAAATATGTTTTCATTTTTGATAATGAAATATGAATAAAAAGATGCTAAACATCATTCTATCTTATTTACGCGGTAGCGAAAACGAACCTCTCGATTTATTACTTTGTTTTTTATTTTAGGGGATTGTGCCAACTTCATTTCTGTCACCGTTAAATACCTTATATAAGCGATTATCTTAATTTTCGCATTTAGCATTTTACTAATAATGTTTGTATGTAAAAGTTTCATTGTAAGTCATTAATTATATAGGTAGATTTATCTTTGTAAGAAGTTCTTTCAGGTAATGATGTTATTTATCTAAAATACATCAGTTAAAAAATGAACGAATAATCCTTGTCCTTGTTAAATGTTAATAATAAACACTTATTTCTTGGTAAGGGGGACTTCCTAAAATCAGAACGTGGTAAAACCCCGGTGTCATAGTATTTGCTATGTATGTATTTGTATCTCAATACCCATACGTCATGTTTTAATTTCTGAACATAGTTCGGCTTTTGTTGTATGGGTGAATTTCCTTTCACGCTAATCAATGTCTGTTACTCTTTGTCATTTATTCTTTGTGTAGATTTCACAGTGGTTTTGTTATTGTAACTCTTAATTAACATAATTTATTTATTATTATAAAAATAAACAAAATAAAAGTATTAACGTAATTATTTGGTTTTATTTAAATCTTGACGCAAGGTCTTTTACGAAGAACCTTATTGATATAGCTTCAAGAGATTTAAATAAGATTTAAGTGGTATCATTAGCCGGTTTCAAAAAAAGGAAGTTTTTCGTCAGAATTTTTAATTTTTTTTTTGTATGTTCATAATATTCTTTTTTATCTGAAAGGATATATACTTGTAGATTGGTTCCATACAAATTTTATCAAAATCGGTTCAGTAGTTTTTAGATAAAAATATTTGATTTTGCTACAACTGAAGTCAAGTTCATCAAGTCAAGTAAATTTATTGAAATTTAATGTTGTTGTTAATATTTGGTGAAATATCGAGTTTCTATGCTTTTTAAAAATATTGTCCTTATTTAATTTTATGTTCTAGATAATATTTGACCGGTTTCACCTTGTAATAATGTTTAAAATAATTCTCAGGTCTGTGAATGTCATGAGGACTATCAAAATCGGAATTTATTAGATATTACGTTTCCGTGAGTTTAAAGTTTACAGTCAATTAATGTCAATGAGGTCTTCAGAAATGATAAGCAATTAATTTGATTTTTATCAATACATATAATAAAGTCGTAACTGATGGTTGTCTGTATATGGAACATATATATGAAAAACTATTATGGGGGGGGGGGGGGGGGGCTGGGCTTTATAAACGCAATAGAACCCAAAACAATTATTTTTAGAATTTTTGTCTGTTTGTACATTTGTGTAATCTTCAAAACTGCTTAACCAATTTGAATGGGTTTTTTGTTACTCATACGTTCCAGTTTGCTCCATTTAACATTTAGTGTTTGTTTTATTTTAATCGGTTCACAATTAAAATCGTTACTGATCGCTGTTTGTACATGGAAGATGTATAAGAAAAATTATTATAGGGGGATTTATGAAATAGTCTGTAACCTGTAGTCTTTTGAGGAAAAACCTCAACAGAGAGCCCATTCCGTAACCTGAGCGTTCGTGGGAGAAAACATTTCTGAAACCGCGCAATAAGCGACCATCTATGTTCGTAAGATATGGGGGTGAAGCTCGATGGCGAGCGATAAACACCTGTAATTCCTTTAATGTTATGGTAGGTACTCATCGCCTAATCGATGGTTGGACCAAGTAACCGCCGTTACGGGACTGTCGATTGCAGCTGCCCTGCGAGAAGCTGAAGACCGTGTAAAATGGAATAACATCATAAGAGAGGCAACAGACACCTTTCAAGGACACGACCTACAGTAGTGAAGAGGACGAAGAGAGAGAGAGGTACTCATGGGCGACGATAGTCACTTATTATCAAATGAGCCGCACGCTCGTTTCCCCACTTTGTTATAAAAAAAATCTGCTTATCTACATTTAAAATAGTTGAATAAAACTTCCTTTAAAATGGCATTTAATTTTTGACCTTCTGTAATGTAGATATTAGGAAAAAATTATAACAATAATAAACCGATCGCTTAAAATGCTTACGCACGAAATCACGCGGGTTAATAATGCTCCAACATAGGGAGATTATGAATAAATACGAGTAGATAACATGACTTATATGGTAAGTAATATTTGGAAATGACGCAAAATGTAAGTAGGTACTTATTTACTGTATAATAGACCAAGAATAAATATATTTTATAATTTTTGTATTACTTCGCTTAAAAAATGGCATAATCACCAATACTATAATAATATATAGAAATAGATATTTAAGAATAAGATTTTTTTTTAATTAAGTGAGCTTAATTACAAGCATTTTTGAATTATCGTAATTTTATGATGTCAAGAATGGTTCTAAAAATATAACGATTGCCATGTGGTCATAGTTAAATTAAATTTCAGTGTAATACGATAGGAAAGTAGTTGTCTATGCTATTAACTAGAGTGTTTATTGTAATAAAACCCGCCCAAGTTTTCTTTGCCTGTGTGAGTACTACAAGTGTAATAAGTATATAATTAATTAGTTTGTAGGTAAGCACATATGGGTATTTACTACATTTAATATGATACACTTAATCTTTCTCTGTAAATAGTCACCTTTCACCTATTATTATGCTTTTTAGCTATTAATTAAGTAAATGACTTTTGATTTTGCTTAGAAAAAAAGTAACTTCAAGTTCAATCGTGGTGAAACTTATATGGATAGGATCAATAAGTGTAATATTTGATAAACAAATTTTAGTTCGATGCAGTTGTTTAAAAATTGTGCAACATAAAAAAAATATACAGATACAGATCAACACAAGGGAATTGAGAAACGTCTCCTCTTTGAAATTAGTTAAAAATAAATAGATGGGAAATTCTGCCATTTAGTCCATCAATTAATCAATCATTCATTTATTTTGTTGCTGCAGAAATTCCAGCTGTCAACTGATAACGTTGTAATAAAATTTGGTTTTTTTAACCTTTTGACCGTATTCATAGCAATAACCGTGGCCCTCCCTAGTGCTCGACTAAAATTGATAACTTTATTATATATTATTATATTTGATTTTTTTAATATTGCTTAATATTATAGAAGTAATAGGTATATTATAAACTGTTGTTCTACCTTCTGTCTTATTTTATTATTGTATTAATATATGTAGTTAAATAAACGAAAAAAAAATAGCTATATCAATACAGGGTTTCTGTTTTCCCATAGAAAAAGTTATAAAATCCCAAAACAGTGTTGAGACTCTCATACTAACACGGCAGTTCTATCTAATTAGTGTGGAAGATTCATGTATTTTTATTTTTTTAACATTTCATAGAGTTTATTCTGTTTCTTTAAGGAACGAATTGTTAAATTATTTTATTTTATGATCTTGGACTTTTTTTTATATATATATATATATATATATATATATATATATATATATATATATATATATATATATATATATATATATATATATATATATATATATATATATATATATATATATATAATATAATAAAAAGACTTCTGAAAATCTACTTACAGGTAGGTATATCTATGTGTATATCTATGTTCTTAAAACGTCATATATTTGTCACTATTTCAGCACTTACCTAGTGTTTGTTTCGAAAAGCTGTAATGTACATTATCTTTGTCTCGTTGAAACAACTGTGCTAATGAATGGAATATTTTGGTTTCTTGGCGTGCTGCTGGGGTTATCACGTTTTTATATAGTTAACTACTTAGGTATTGAACTTTTTTTACATGCTCTCAAAGAGAAAAATATTGTGAAATAATAAAGAAATTGTAACACCCGATTTTAAATTGTCAGTGTTAGGTAAGTATATTTTGCTCATGATCCTTTTTTGTGTTTGAAAAGATAAAAATTTAAAATATTTCCAAAATTTTAGATAATTTGTACACCCATCATGACATATAGATGACATCCTCACTGCTAATATAATAAATCTGTAAGTGAGTTTATTTGTTTGTTACCTCTTGGTGTCTTAATCACACCTACTACTTGAGACATAAACAACTATTTGTCCGGTTCCTTCAATGAACGCATTCCAGCACGCGTACGACGTCGCGGGTAAAAACTAGCAGTTACAATTTATTAGAAACATTAAAATGAATGAATAAGAGCATCGTTTCTGGAAATAATGATAATATAATCACTACCCGGAACTAGAATAAAATATGCTGCTGTTACTAGCCTAAATTCTACTATCGTACTCACTGCAGTTAAAATTATTTTTCGAGCTTTTAATATTTGTATACATTTATATACGGCGGTATCCGAAGCGCAGCGACGGGTTCTGACGACGAAGTCCCAGATTCAATTCTAGGTCGGGCCGAATAGGAAACGATTTTTTCTAAATTGATTAGGGCACTGAGTTTTGCGCTTAACACCCGTTGTCAAATGTCGGTTGTCTAATGTTATAGTATTCTTATTTGACGATAAGGCGATTGATACGATTGTGCAGCATTTAATTTATAATTTAGTGGCCCAACCAGACAGCATAATTTTTTTTAAAATAAAATTCAGCCTTTGTTATTCGCTAATAATATAACTTTCTATAGATGAAAGAGTTTTTAGAATCGGTTTAGTAGTTTTTAATGTTATTCACTTAGGTTATACAGTGCCTCCATACAAATGCTTTTAGAAAAGCGGGTTAACTTTATCATACAATTTATCGTGATAAATAGTTATGAATGATTCCTTTATAACTTCTATATTTATTTTGTCTTATATAATTTTGCACCTTTTAATACGCAAATTATAATTTTATTTAATAAATATTTAAATATAGATGCGTCAAGGTACATTGTGTACGTAAGTATATAGAACACTAATAAAAAACGAGTTAACTAATTTGACAATTAGCTGACAAAAAGTTGACCCGTTTTTCAGGCTCGATGCTTTATCTGTATAATCTAAGGTTATTTGTTACAAACAAAGATACAAAAAAAAAAACAAATCTTTTCTTTGTATTATTAGTTTAAATAATTTATATATTTAAATATAAAGAACAGTATGAAAAACAGGTAAACATAGGTCATATGAACAAAAGCTGGCCAAAAGAATGCTGTAGGTGCCTGCATCAATAAAGGTACTCCATATATAGACATTTTTTTAAGGTTTTTACCTTGATGGTTTTTATTTTTAAACTCATTTACGTTGAGCGTTAAATTAAATGGCAACTAAGTATGCACATTGCATATTCTTTATGCAATTCAGATTTCCATTTTTATTGTTAGCAAATTAAAAGAAATATAAAATTCGAAATCGCATTTTAAAAAACCCTTTTTAAAATTTAAAATTTTGTTAAAATTAAAGTTGCACAGATGCCGATCAAAAAAATTAAATACTACTTTTTAGAAATCTGTATAAAGGTCACCGACGGACCAAATAAAATAGCGAAAGTCATGATGTTGTGGCATACGAAAGGTCTTTTAGATATTGACCCTAATAACCTCGTGTTGGTTGTGGTTTTTAAACTAAGTGGTTGCTAAAAAGGTAAGTTTAGTAAATCTTGATTTGATTTTGTTTCCTTGTTTGTAAATGTATTAAGGTTTATCATTATGTC